CAGAGCTCAGCCAGCCTGGACACCCCTAACCTCTGCCCAGTTCCCTTCAGGGTTCTAGAGCTGATAAGAGCCAGGCATCCCACCAAAAGCCACTATTTTCCTTCTAAGTTACTCGCCAACCTACCCCGTCTCATCTCCTGCCAAGATCAGCTCTTTAGGCCCCTGCATCATTATCACAGAGCATATATAATTTCACGGCAAATCGCAAGAACTGATGAATGACTATTTGGATTGCAGTTGTCAGGAGAGTATAAAATGCTTCCTGCCATACAGAGCCCAGGAGTGGTTACCAGCTCTCCTGGCTAAAGGCACGTCTGACCTGCTCAGCTGCAGAGCCCCTGCTCTGCTGGGGCTGGTGTGGGGGGGACTGTGGGCTGCCTTCATGGGGAGGGCACAGGGCTGGGTGCTACCAGCACAGAGGGTTGGTATTCTGGTGTAATTTGTACCCTCTTCTAAAAAAAGTCTTGCCCTGCTCACCGCTGGGTACACCATCCCACTCCCCTACCCATCACCTGCAGCCTGTGGGGAGGGTGCTGATGCCCAGTGCAGTGTCCTGCAGGAATGACAATCTCCATCTCATGCCCTTTCCTCCCTGCTCTTGTAACTCAGCCTAGCCTAGCTAAAAAATTCTTCCTCTTGTTTTAATTCTTTCCAAAAGAAAAGAAATTTCCTATAATCCTGACTAAACACCAATTCATCACCAGGAGAAGGTCACAATGCTCCTGCGCTTTCTCACAGTCTCTGTCCAGGGCAAAAGCATCAGGGAACATCTTTTATCTTCCATTTCCCCTGAAAAACCCATCTACCACCCAAAATATGAGTGAATCTGGATTGCTGACATCTTTTTATTGCTGGTTTTCAAAGCCATCTGCTTTTGTCCCATTTCATTTTCATCTCTTTATGTAAAAGCTTTTCAAGTAGACCTAAAGTTTTCCCTCATTAAATTCTAAGTGTTGGCCTTGAACTTAAAGTTTTACCACCTTCTGCTTCTTCAACATCAGTGTGAATTATTGACCAGGGTGACTGCTGTCAGCCCCTGTCAGTGTTTAAACCCTGATGTGAGAGGCTGAACAGCCTGGCTCCTGTTTGTACTAGTTATTAACTTATTCTAATTGCCTTCAGAGCAGCAAAAGCTTTGCAAGAAGGTTTTCGACACAATCACTGGTCTCAGAGATCTTTAGGCTAATCTGTAAGAGCCAGCAGCATCTGCTTAGTGCATTATTGCCATGGGAGCTGGTTGCTGGAAGAGCACACAGAGACCAGAGGAGGCAGGTTTGGTCAGTTTGGGTACGTACCTGGAGGGATTTCAGATGGTGTCTGGGGATCCAGAGGAACCTTTTGGATATCCCTTGGGCAAAGAAACTAGTCAGGCAGCACTGGCAGCCCTCCTCCAGGACTGCAGCCACTTGGATCAGGGCTGGAAGGCTGAGCTGGCAGAAGGAAAAGGTACACCCTGCCTGAAACGCTCATTGCTGTCCTCAGGAAAGTGTCATTTGTATAAAATCCATTTCTAAGCCCTAGGAAAGGCAGCAGAAGGTCCCCAAACCAACTAACAGCCCTTCCATGGATTAAATTCCAGATAGTCATCCACTTAATCCTTGTGCACAGCCATTCCCTTCAGCTCACTGTCTTCATCACTCCCGGCAGCAGGAAAAGCTCCCTGTGAGCATCAGCCCTGCAGGTGTGGGAGGGGGACTTGAAGACTCCTGGCCAAAGTCAACCACACCCCATGGGACAGGTGTCAGAAGTAAAGCAATTTAGAACCACAAATAGATACCAGGGCTTCTGTTTCACTTCTTAATTGGGTAGGGGCCCATTAGCCTCCCCAGTAACTTCCTGCAACCCTGGGGCAATGACACGCAGGTCTCGGGGTGCTCACTGTGCCCTTGGGGCACACAGAAAAGCACCATCCCTTTGTCCCCTTTGCCCACTGTACCTTGGACACCCCATCAGTGCCCTGCAGCGCAGCGGTCCCCAATCCACCCCCAGCCCCTCACCATCAGCCGCCCCACTCCCCCGATTTGGCTGCCCCAGGAGTGACTCACCCTTCCCAGGCTCACACACACCCACAGGCAGGAGCATGCTGCGTTCTGCTCCCAAATAAGCTTTTTGGATTGGGTTGGTTTGTTTGCTTTTTTATTATTTAACCAGTATGGCAGTGGTCGCCCACTGCCCCCCCAGCGCTCGCTGGTGGGCACGCCGAGCAAGTAACAGTGAACAAACCCATCACCTTTAGCAGAAGAACCCCCTCCCCTCTGGAGCAAGCTGTGGAATTATTTACACCTGGTCGTCTCTGTACAGCCCCAGCTGTCGTACAACTTCCTCCACACCAGCTGTGCAGAGGCTGGATACAAATAGAGATATTTCCCCCCGGTACAGTTCAAGCGATAAATTGTCCAATACTTTGTTTGCCTGTTTGTACAAGTTACAAAGTTGGTGAACATTAAGTTTAAACTTAGGGGTTTTTTTAATAGTCTAACGTGACTTTCTCCTGGATGGCACAACCACAGCTGGCAGCACAAGGAGGTGCCATCAGACCGTGCTGGGAGGTTTTGGGGTGCTTGAGGATGCCTCAGTGGGGAGAACGACGGCCAGAGGGGGAAGCACCACAACCTGTAGGAGCAGCAGCTTCCCCTTTCCCAAAACCACGCTCCTCCAGCCCACATCAGAGCAGGGAAATGGGGGCCATCCTGCTGCAGCCCCCAGACCCAGGGGGGATCCCCACCAAGTGGCTGTGAGCCTCCTGCCCATGTTGATTTGACCCAAATTAATTAGCCCACAGTGGGAGGATGGTCCCCACTCCAGCACCCCAGGAAGGTGGCTCAGAGCTCCCCAAGAGGAGCTGTTGCTGCCCCATGTTCCCCCCGCAGTGTTCCCCTATCCTTGTCCCTGCTGCTGCAGGGATGTTCCAGGGGACAGGCGGCTGCAGGAGCATCCGTGTGGGATGGGATGTGTGCGGGGAGACCTGACGATGGAGACGCAGCAAGACAGAAAGTGGCAAAACCAAGCAGTGCTGTGGCTCCCAGCAAGGGGGACTCCCCAAGTGTAGGTTCCCACTGGAGCAAATCCTTCGTCTCTCTCTCTCTCCCAGTCTCATGCACCCCTGGCCTGCTCCCCTACGCTGGCTCCCAGCCCAGGGCAGGCTGTCCTGGCATGATGGGGACGTGCAGCACAGCTGGGGACTGAGCTCCTACACAGAGCTGGGAACATTAGCCAAGTGTCCTGCTCCACAAAAGAGCCCCACGGAGCAGGGGTGTGAGGCTGCTGGAGCACCACAGCAGCTGGGGGGGGTCATGGGTGCCTCCCCAGCACCTCCATGTCCTCCCAGCTCTGCAACACTGTCCCCTCCTGCAAACACTGCCCTGCCCAGAAGCTGGTGGGTACATCTGCCCAACCATCCATCCAGCAGCACCGAGCCAAAAACCCTAAAAGGGCTGAAACAACCCCACAAATACCTGAAAACTCCTCTGCCACACTCACAGCACACCCTGGGCATTGCTGGGCTTTGGGGCTTTGGGGCTCCTGGCCAGCCCTGGCCCCTCACCTTGCACACAGGGAAAACACAGTGGAGAGACAAAGAGATACACCGTTATGGGGCTGGCACTAAGTGGGACAGGCTCTTAAACTCTCCATCCCATGGCTTCAGGTGCCACCCATGCTGAATGCTGCCTGGGACTAACAGGGAGGGCAACCCAACCCTGCTCCAGCTGGGGCAGTGAGAAAGTGGCTCTGCAGCTCCTGGCTGGAGCCCGTGGCCCTTCCTGATGTCACGACTGCAGGGTTGGCACGGGGTGCCCACATGGTGAGGGACCCAAATGCCACCCCAGCACCTCCATCCCCAGCATGCTGCAGCACCACTGGCAAGACCAGCCATGGCAAAGCCACAGCTCAGCACCTCCGCCCCAAAGGCAGCAGCTCCGTCCCCCTTCTCTCGCCTTCTTGCCATGTCTCAACCCTTGCTGGGATGCTGGCAGGGTCTGCAATGCCACTTGGTGGAGCTGCCAGCTCTGCAGCCACCTTCCACCAGCACCCAGCACCGCCAGCCCTGCAGCTGCTATCCACGGGCACCCGGCATCGTCAGCTCCGCAGCCACCTTCCACCGGCACCTGGAGCCTTCCTGGACATCTGGAGACACCAAGCAGCACACAGTATTGCTACTGTGCCAAGTGGGAACTTTATTCTTCGTTGTGGTTGGGGTTTATTTCTCTATTTTTTCCGAATCGGTTAAGGAGGCAGCTTTGAAGATGGGTTGGATTTGGATAATTCTTTTTTTTCCCAGCAAAATCTGCAACATTTTAATAGCGTTATGCCCAGACATCAGCTCTGTGAGTTTGTACAGCTCAGAGCCACGGAGACACCAGCAGCAATAACCTGGGAACGGAAAGACTTCCACATCGCTTGTGCATTGTCTCGGATTTTTTTTTCTTAAAAAAAAAAAAAAAAAGCACAACAGAAAAGACACAAACATTGATGAACATTAAAAACCTGTACATTGTAAAAAAAAAAACCAAAAAAAAACCCCAACAACAACAACAACAAAAAAAAAAACCAACCCCCAAACAAACAACAAACATCATCATTCTCTTGCTTTGAAATCAGAATCAACCTGGGAACGTTGCAGGGGGAAAAGAAAGATCCGTGGGGAAGGTGACGGCTCCGGCTGTGCCGCTGGGCCCGCGCGTAGGACGCGGGGGCTGCCGCCCACCCAGACGGGCTGGGCTGGGCTGGGGCTCCTCTAGCGCATAGAATGCAAAGCATTTAATACATTTTATTTCTTTTTTTTTTTGCCATTTGTTTTTTCCCCCCAGAGCGAGAAAGCAGAAGTGAATGAAAAAAAAGTCTAATATTTTGTTCTTTAACCATGTAACTGCAGATATGAGCCAACATCATGGAATGAAAAAAATAATGTAAAGTAGAGCATTCGTGTGTATCACAAAAATACAATAAAAACTTTTTTTTTCCTTTTTTTTCCTTTTTGTCTTTTTTTTTTTTTTTTAAAGTTTCCTGTGAACTCCCTGCCACGCCGGTCTCATGCCGGCTCTGCCCCTGCCCCGGCCAGCTCGGAGGGCTCTGGAGAATCAACGTCTACAACCAGCAAAGGTGTGTGTAACGGGGGGCCCTGCAACCATGGCAAGATTTTGTTTGGTTTTTTTTTTTTTAAACTAAGTACATACATTCTCCTGACTCCCAGACAACTTTGATGGATCATTGTTACCTTTTTTTTTTTTAAACCCTTCCATACAATGGACAAACGCATCAAAGCCTGCATGTAAGAACAGAACCTCTTTTACAGCATGTAATACTGTGTTTTGTTTAAGTCCTTCCTTGCGTAAAATATTGACATAATTCACTGAAGGTATCAAAAATATACCCTGTAGACCAATACAATTTACAATTGCCTTTTCTCACCATTCAGAAAACAATGCACTTAAAGCAACCGAGCCCCTCGGTGGGCAGCACATGAGCCAGCCCCGGGACGTCCCTGCCCGCTCCGAGTTACCCGGGATCGCTTCCACCGAAGGGACCAGGGTTTTTTGTGTTTTTTTTTTTTAGAAACAGCTCTTCACTCCCTCCCCTGCCCGCTCATCCCAGCCACATTCAAAGTGTGTCGCTGCGGGGCTGATACATCTTGTGACATGGGAATGACAGGCCACCAGCCCTCGGATCAGCTGGGGAACCAACCCAGGGTGTTCCGTCCCGTTTCGCTTCTTAAACCGTTTTCCTTTTCTTTAACCCGCTCCAGGTTTTGCATTTCTGTGGCACATCCCCATGGCCGGGATGTGGGGGAACATCCCACAGCCCGTCGTGCAACTCCGCAGGAGCATCCTGCGGCCCCTCGCTCGACTCCTTGGGAGCAATGCCACAGCCCCCTGCCCGACTCCGCGGGAAAGCGCCAGCAGAGCGTCCGAGCACACGCAGCCCCGGGACAGGCACGTGGCAGCTCACAGTCCCTCTGAGCACGGGGGTCACCGCCCAGCACGGCTGCCAAGATCGAAGATGGGTTCCTTGGGTTTTGTCTCGTTAAGGCTTTTTTCTTTTCTTTTCTTTATCGGACCAAAGAGGACGCAGAAATTCCCAGATGTCGAGAAAGAAAAAAAATAACCCAAAGAAACAAACAAACAAAATAATAATAATAATGAAAAAAAAATAACACCCCCCCTCCCCAAATTGGCTGGTTGGGGAGGAAGGGAAAAAATAAAGGAAAAGGGAAAAATGAAATAGCTCTGCTCCTACATCTTCGCTCGTGAGAGCCGGCGGGGCCGGGGCGGTGGGCACTCGCCCGGGGCGTCCCGCTCGCTCCCCACACCCTGGGTTTGGTCGCCATCTCCCTGCCCCGGCTCCTCTCATTCACTGTCCGAAAGGGTTTCGTACTGGGAGCAGAGCAGGGGCTTGGGCTCCTCGTCCCAGGCATGGTGCTGGCTGCTGGGGGTCCCCTGCGGCAGCGGGGCGGCGGGGGCTGCCGTCACCACCCCGCTGGGGAGCCGCATGGTGAGCGGGTTGTAGGGGAACGGCGTCGAACCTGCATGGGAGGAGGAAGCAGAGAGTCAGCGGTGGGGGGTGGATGTTCCCCCATCCCCCTGCAGCCCCCCCACACCCCTGCGAGGGTGGCACGGCCACTCTGGGGACCCGTCCCCCGAGCCCTACCTGCGGACGACGGCCTGTCCTCCCAGACGCGGTTGGTGAGGGGTGTCCTGCGGTTGCAGTCCCCCTCCGAGTGCACCGAGGAGACCGAGGGCGGCCGCTCGCCCGAGGACAGACCCGGCGCCGGGGACTTGGCCTTGCGGCTGTTGGGCCTGGCAGCGATCTTTGGCTTCCCCCCTCCTCCTGCGAAGAGAAGCACCCGCTCGTCACCCAGCTCGTCGTGACAGGATTCAGGGGGTCGGGGAGGGGGTGCAGGTTCCCAGCGCTTCCCTTTTTAGGAGCTTGCAAAAATGGCTTGTGGCAGGAGAAAAGCTCACCCCGGGCCGATGGCACCATGGGGGACGGGCAATGGGGCAGGCAGGCACAGCAGACAGAGGAGGTTTCTCTCCCCTCCTGGGCTGCTCCGCCCTGTGGGTTGATGCCACCAACTGTCCCATGGAGTGATGTGGGGCAGGAGCAGCCACGTGGCTTTGGCCAAGCTATTTCTCTGCAGGGTCTGCTCCTGAGCCAGCTCATGGCTCAACCCACAAAAATGGGTCATAGGATGGAGCTCCATGTGCTGCTCCATGTCCACAGGCAGGGACCCCCCAAGAGCTACATGGGTGCTGGAGCCCTGGACACATTCTTCATTCCCATGGTCTACATGGCTAGGATGGTCTTTGATCCATCCTTACAGCAGAATCCCTGGGGCTGTTTAGCCAGCTTTTAAAAGGTTTAAAGCCAAATGGGCCTCTGCCAGGGATGTGAGGCTGGATAAACCAGGAGGAGCTCCCCAAGGGGGAGGGATAGATGGGCTCTGCATCCCACCTTGCCTGGCCAGGCAGCCTCTGCCAGGCATGGGGAAACATGGCTGGAATAAGCTGCTGGTTTCATGCAGGAGCCAGAAAAGCTTTTCTGCAACAAGCTTTAGAGCACCTGGTGTGAGCTGACCTGGAGGAAGGTGCACATGTGCGCCCAGGACACTGCTCCTGAGTCGGGGACTCTGTGCCTGGATTGCCGAGGGTGATCCCTAACACTGGTGCCATGCTCTGTACAGGGGCCTTGCATGAGGCACTCTACCCTTAGGAAGTGTGCAGGGGACAAATGCTCCCTCGGATCAGCTGAATCCACCCCTGACCCCCCTCCTCCCTCCCCCTTCCTTAACTGAGGATCTGCTCAACAACCCTCCCAGCTCTGCTGAAGTCCCCCCACCATGGGGCCCAGCGGGCTTTGCAAGCCCCCCACCAGGGCCCACAGGACAGCTCACTCCCAACCCTGCTCTCTTTATCATCTCATCTCCCATCTATCACTTTTAGCCCCCTTAAAAATCTCCCTCTTGCTCCAGGTGCTCCCAGATCCCATCAAACCCCCTGTGCCAGGCTGGATTCTGCCCTGACACCCCAAAGTCCGGGGTGGGGAGAGAAATGCCACCCTGCCCTGTGTCCCCCACTCTGGTCCTTCTCAGCTTCTTCCTCTATTTTGGGAGCAGTGGTCCCATCCAGGGTTTACAGATAGTTGGGGGTGGCTATTAAGGTTTATGGCTTTGATTTTTGGGTGGGGGGTTTTGCCTCCATAAACCTTTCCATTGTGTAAAAAAAAAAAAACACAGGAAAAGGAGATAGTAAAAACCAACAAACGGGGAAAGGAGCAAGTCAGTGGTTTAGAGAAAGCAACAGCACCTTTGGAGACTATTAAATTAACATCAAACAAGACCAGGATTAATCAGCAGATTCACAAAGCTCAAAGCTGGGGGAGGGTGGGGAGAAAAGAAAACCAAAATGAACAAAAAATGGGGAAGGGGAGGAATAAATCCACCCGTCAAAGGGGAAATATAAAGGCTGAGAATTAATAACACAGAGAGAGCGAAGGTGGAGAGGGCTGCAGACCTGGCAAGGAGCGCACGTCCTCGTTTCGTCCATCAGCAGGAGTTATGGGCATAGCAGCGGGCAGGCTTGCACTGGCATTCAGAGAGTTAAAAGCATTGGCACTGAGAGGTGAGCGCTCTTCCCACTGCTCGTCATATTTACCCATTAGGGCTTTCCTAATTATTGCCTCCAACCCCATGTTGGTACTGGAATTCTCTTGGACCGACTGGCTCCTACAACTGATTAGCCCTGGGAGATACGGGAGAGGGAGGAGAGAGGGGACGGGAGATGGGGGGGAGCCAAATGAGAAGAAAGATGGGGGGGACGGGGAAAGGGGGAGAAAGGAGACAAGGGAGAAGGGAAGAAACAAACAGTCAGCACATTCTCGCAAAGCAACAAACTTTGTCATCTTGTTCTTTAAAGCGCTGCGATGCACCCGTCCTCCTCCTCCTCCTCCCGCTCCATCCCGCCCCGGGGCTCAGCAGGGGCTGGCAGTGGGACGGATGGGACTCACTCTGGGATATATGGGGTTTGGGAGGGTTCCCTGGGGCCAGGAGCTGGGAGAATGGGGGAGTAAGGGTTTTTTGCTGATCCCCAGGGAGCAGCTGCAAGAAATAGGGGCTGTGCTCCCAACATGGGAGGCATGGGGGCAGGAAGAGTGTCACCTGGATGTGGGATCCATATGCACACACAGCAGAAGTCGGTGCACCAAGAATATGGAGGCCGGGGCAGTTTCCCATAAAGGAAGTCACGGGGAAGAAGGGTGAGTACCCCATAAAAACACTTGATCAGAAAGAAGGGCCTGGATTTGGCCCTGGCATCAGAGGTGGCAAATGCAGGCAGCTCCCGGAGGAGAGCACGCAGCCCGTGGAGCTGCCTGTGCGGGGTCGGGTGATGTGGGGAGAGGGGAGCGCCCTTTTGTCCCTCCTCGCGCTCTTTGCAAGCCCCCTGCCCGCTGCCCCAGCCCTCCCTTCCCCCTCCAGGCCCGATGCCCACGTGGGCCAGAGGCCCCGGGCTGAGCCGCGGCTACGGGACAGGATGCAGAGGCGCAGTGGTGTGTCCGCGTGGGTGTGAGTCTCAAGCCATGCAGTTATGGAGCAGCACCGCACAGGGACCGAGGCTCAGCCACGCCACCATCATTCCCGGGGTGGCGGTTACAGGGAACAAGCAAGGGCAAAATACAGACACGAAACTGCCAGGCACCCCAGCTTGCCCCGTCCTGAGGTGTTCCTTTTGGGATTGCCGCCCTTCTGCTCAGAAAGGGACGGATCCCAGGTTCCTGTAAACCTGGTTTGGACATTTGTCTCTCCGTACATGGGCAGGGTCTCTCCTGGTCCCCTCTGGCCAGAACTGACCCCTGAATTTTGGCTGCCAGGGACCCTCAGGTCCCACCTGGCTGTACCTGCTCATCCCAGCAGATGATGTCAGCTGGCTCCTTCTCCCAAACACATTCCCACTGGTGAGCAGTCTTACACCACTGGCCCTCCTGCTTCACCAAGCCCCTGCCCACAGCACCTCCTGCCCTTGGCTGTGGAAAGCTGCTGTTCTCCTACTTAAAACTAACAACCTGAAGGCATTCCTGCTGTAGGAGAGCATTAATCCTTAACGAATTAAGTACCAATTAGTATTCCTCAATGGGGATTCATGTCATTAATTTGAGAGCCCACCTGGACATGTTGCAGGCAGTAACAGCACAACAGCGTTCCCACTGTCATTCCCCCTCAGGCTGGTCATGTTCCTGAGCCCCCCTCCATGTCCCAGGTAATACCCTTTTGGTCCTTGGCCATTGCCAGTTTGCCCAGCACAGGGTGCTGCTCTCATCCCAGTTTGCTTTTGCAACTGGTTCCTGCCTTGTGCCCATCCTGCAGAGCACAGACCCTGCTCCCCACCCTCACGTTCCCCTTCGCTGCTGCCCTCCCACTCACCCATGGCTGACCAGAAGGTCCCACCAAGAGCAAGGTGCTCTCTCCTGCTGTGAGGTCCACCTTGCAATGGTTTAACCCTCTGTTGGCATCAGATGGCTTGACTTTTAACCTCTCCTCAAATTCTGCCAGGTTTTCTGAGGAATTACACTGCCCTGTTTTCAACCCAGCAGTAGAGTTATGGTGTGTCCTGAGGTTTCTGCCTCCCAGCAACTGTTACGCTTGGTCTTATGGAGCAAAGAGAAAAGGAGATGCTTAAATCTACCAAATCTCCTGCTCTCCATGCCTGTAAGCCCTGTGGGGAATGAGGTATGGGTATGTGGGGGATTTACCTGCTCCTGTAATCGCTGGCATGTTGAAAATCTCTGTCCCAGGCTGCCCAACATCTGGAGAAAAACAAAGAAGCTCTTCAGTATGGAGAGCAGCATGTGCAGGCTGGTGGCAGGGAGGACCTGCTGTGCCACCCATGACAAGATTCCCATGTCCCTGTCACGGCACCCAGCCCGACAGCAGCCCACCTCCCCCAGGCACTGGGGTGCGTCTGTGGGTGCTGGCTGGGACCAGGAATAACTCCCAGTACCTTTGGGAGATCCACAGCGGGTACCTTTGTCAGGTGGAAAGAGCAGAAAAGCAGAGCCCAGAAAGCCAGGGCAATGTCTTTGTGCTCAGTGCTGGCCTCCCTCCTTTTCTCCCTCCTGCCCTTGGGATTACAAGCTCCGTGAAGCCAAACTCTCTCTCCTGCCTATGGGATTTCCAAAGGCTGAACACCCCCTATCCAAGGAGCAAGTCTGGGCAGGGGGAGGGCGAGGAGGAGGAGAAGAAATGTTAAATCAATATTTTCCCTCTTAGCTGAGCTGTTTGACTTGGATATCGTTTTCCTTAGAATAACGGAAATTCTCATCAAATAAGAGGTGTATCCTATTTCTATATATTTTCCCTTGATAAGAAAAAGTGTGGAAGGTCACAGGGTTCAGCCACATGTCCCCAAAGGGGCATAACAATACTGTTGGCTCATGGTAACATCATCCAGGAGACGAGACAGCTCGGTCCCTCTTATCCGATGCAGCTGTTGTAAGATGGATTCAAATTGAATTAGTATTGACTGTATAATGCTGGGCTAAATTAAATTATGATCCTATCTACTCTATTAGCGGTTAATGAATGAACGGGCTGAAGTTCTAATCTAAGCCAGCCTGGTTAGTTTTACAGAGCTGCACCAATATTGATGTAGGGCTTAGAGTAATGTTGGGGGGAGATGCATCCCAAGGAGGAAGGATTCAGCTTGGCTGGCCATTCATTAAAATATCAATTAAGTCTCTTTAAGTCTCCTCCATGCTCAGCTCCTTATTTCCTTCCTACTTAGTTTATCTGATGTGGGTGGGATTGACAGCCCCAGAGCATGAAAACACAGAGTGGGAAGACCCCAGTGCTTCCCTGGAGTTCAACTCTCAAGTGCAGATGGAGCAGGCTGGGATCTCCCAGCCCTTAACACAGCAGCACCCATTCCCAAATTTTCTTTGCTTCCTGTGTCCTTGAGGTTTTTCCCCACCAGTGCCCTCCATTTGTCTCCCCACTGGTCCTTACTGTACTCCGTCTCGTTTTTGTTGGTCGTGCTGAGCTTCTTGATGATTTCCTGTTTCTTGGACTTCACCATGGCAGAGTTGCTCTCAGTCAGCTTGCTGAAGAAAGCTGGAGGCTGAGTGTTGTTTCCTGGGGACTTGGACCCCATCCTGCAACACAAAAGACCATTGGAAACCTCTGCAACGTTCAGTGCACAAAGTCCCACCTAGAGAGCCTCTGCCCTTGGTGTAACTGCTCAGAGTCAGCCTGGGCACTCCTGTGATACTCAGCATCTCCCTATCTATCTCCCTATCCCAACTGTGTTGAAAAGCCCCTATGAGCAGACAGCGCCCTGGGATGGGACACTGCTTCTGTCAGCAAGGAAAGGAGCCTGAGCCAGGGCACACGTGGGGGCATCCCCATCCTCAGCTGCCTCCAGCGCCTGCCCCTGGGCGGTACCTCTGGTCCATGGGCTCTCCCTCGCGGAACAGGACGGGGTAAGGGGCGCTCTTGGCGTGTTCTGCTTCTCCCACGCCGTCTGGTGGAGACACCGGCTCGATACAGCTGTCGGCCCCGCCGGCCGCGGCTTTGCCCTGCTCCGGGGACCTGCGGAGCAACGGGAACATGCCATCAGTTCTGTCCTTGCACAGCAGCTTGAGTTTGGGAGGGGGAGAACAGCCAAAACTGTTTTCCTACAGCAGGGAAAACAGCCAAACCTTTCACATCCTGTGGACTCCTGGTGCCTCCTAACACGGGCCAGAGGGAGAGCCCAGCCCGGGCGTGCAGAGCCGGGCTGAGCCAAACCATGGCCCTGATCCCCCGGCAGCTGGACAGCTGAGCCACCCCAAAAACAACTGCCCAGTAGGGATGAGGGACCAGTCCTGGGACCTGCCAGCTCAAGAGTGTCCCTGGCTGGCAGAGAGCTGTGACATTAACCCTTTGGGGACATGGATTTTGATTCTCCATCATATCTGTGAACACAGTGGAGACAGCACCCCCCACCCCTCATCCACCTTGTCAGGGCCACACAGGGGCTGGTTGGCTGCGGGTCTGGAGCTGGGGCAGCTCAGAAAGCATCAACACTGGCCCCCGATGCCTGCCTGTGGCCAGAGCCTGGGAGACAGCCAGGCTCGAGTCTGCAAGGAATTTCTCACAGCAAGTTCTGGGAATTTACATCTTTATTCTTTCTGTGGTTTCTCTTTTTTTTCCTGTTTTTTTCATCACTGGGTGGTCAGGGCTGGGCTCTCTCCTTTCATGTTATAAAGCCAACTCTAGGACCAGGCAGAGCTGGGAAGAATAATCCCATTTACTGACAAGGAACCACCAGTCTGGAGGCACCACTCATTCCTGGATGCATTTGGGTCTCTGTGGCTGTTTGGGTGAGAGGACAGACCCATTTTTTAATTCCAGACAACAGCAATCAGACCTGCCTTGTAGCTGCACAGGGATTTGAAAGTGACTTTAAAACAAGTACAGGTGGTACCTGAAATGGACAGTTACAGTTATCAAGGCACTTGTGTCTAACAAACTTCTAATTCACTGAGAAAGATGAAGATACCTTTAACTTTGAACCATGGAAAACATGCTGCTTTGGGTTTTTTAAAACCATCTGGTCAGGGACTGAGAACCATGTGGTCAGGGACTGAGAACAGTGACAGGACAAGAGACGAGAAGCACAAACAAAACACAAGAAATTCCATCCCAACATAAGGAAATATCTTTTTCCTGTGAGGGTGCTCCAATGCTGGGACAGGGTGGCCAGAGAGGTGTTGAAGTCTCCATCAGTGGAGATATTCAGAACCTAACTGGCCATGACCCAGGGTAACCTGCTCAAAAGCTCCTTTCCACCTAAACTATCCTTTGACACCAGCTAGATCATGAAGGGGATCATGCATGGACGTTAGGGGGGTCTAAAGAGCACCTTGAGGACAACAGGTATGGCAAGAGGCACCACCACAGAGGAAAGAGGCCCAGCTCAGAAAGCAGTTTTACACTCTGGGCTGTGTAAGCAGGGGATTCACACAGCGCCAAGCCTGGGAGCATGAATTCAGCAATGCCAAATGCCAGCCTGCCCAGCGCACCCCCTTACCAGGCCACCTGCCCAGCTCCTCGCCCTGCGCAGCCCGGGTCCACCTGAACTGAGACTGGCACAAGCTCCCCTGTGCCAGCTTGGGTGGGACTCTCTGAGCTCACCTTTTGCCACCTTCGTTCTGCGGGGAGATCCGCGAGGCCGCCGTGTGCTCGGGCTGCTGCAGGTAGGCCTCGCTGGGGGTGCGGCGCAGGTCCAGCACCGGGCAGGCCGCCCCAGGGAAGGAGTACACCGGCGCCTGGATGTGCGAGTTGAGCTGCTGCGGGTGGTGGCGCGTGTAGTCCTGCGTGATGACCTCCTAAGGAAGAAACCCCCCCTGAGTCAGAAATAGAGCTGGTTTATACCTTTGCTCTGCTGGGCCCAACTAAGAGGGCAAGCAGGAGGGAAATAGGCTGGTTTGTCCCTGCAGATGCAACATCTGCCTCCTGTCATGATGGGGTCCTTGGTGACCCAAACACCCAGGCTGAACACCCCTGATGCCCCCTGCTCTCCAGCCCCCAAACAGAGGTGTTGAGGTGTCCAGCATCACTCCCAGCCCGTCCCCACCAGACACGTTTCATTTGGCTCGTCCCTCCTCCCCAGAGCCCCAGCAGGAAGGTGAAGGAGGAGAATGAGGTTAGTTACACTGATGTGCTGGGCCAGCGTGACCACCCTCTGGTTCATGCCCTTGGTGCTCTGCAGGGGCTGGCACTGGGGGCCGTCGGGCTGCCGAAGGTGCTGCAGGTGGGCGGCTTCGGGAGCTGAGCCCTTCAGCGAGCCTGGGGGGCACAAAGAAGACAACAGGCATGAGATGATGTCTGTGACCCCTTCCTTGAATGCCATCCCAGCACTGGGACACAGCAAGCAAGATCTGGATGAAGAAGACTCCCATGCCAGCTCAGGCTCTCCTGCACCAGATGGCACTGCCATTCCCTGTCCTCACCTTGCTGTTTCTGCCTCAGGTCATGCTCCCCATGCCCCTTCTCTGCATCCTGTAGCAGCTTGGCCCCTTTCTCATGGGACAGGCTGGGTGAGCTCACGGGACTCACTGCTTCCATCCGCTCAGGGCTGTAGGCTCCGTGAAAACCTGGGGAAAGGGGAGAACACAGTTAAAAACAGAAGCTCGCTTGGCTTTTCCCTGGTGCTGTGGCACTGTTGCTTGTGGGTAGAGTCACATGTTCAGCAAAGGGGGCAAAAAAGAGATTAGGGCAGACCTGGCAGGTCATGCTGCAGGGACCCCTGGAGCCACCTCTGATGCCCAGCTGTGGTCATGGCTGCAGTGAAGAGGTGGTATCTTGTTCAAGCACAGCTGGACACTCAGCAGCTTATGGTGACACCTGAGTGTCAGGGACCAAATTCATCCCCTGTGGTTTCCCAACTTGTTCCCTCCCATTCCCCACCCCCTAAAACCTCCTCTGTGCCCAGAGGGACTGAGATGCTCAGAAGGAGTGGAGGTGGCTGCACAAGAGGTCTCCAAGTGCTTTACAAAGAAAAGCCCCAAGCCCAGCATGGGCAAGACCAGGGACTTGAAAACTGCATGTGAGGCCCTGGAGACTCCAGATCTTGCTCCAGAGACAGTGGATGCACACACTGCAGGGGCAAAATTTGACCATTCTCTGCCTTTTAAGGCCTTTCATAGACTCATAGAATCATATGTGAAGGTTGGAAAGGACCTCTAAGCTCATTGAGTCCAACCATTACCCTAACACTGACAAGTCTACCAAGTCCACCTCTGCAGAGACTCAAACTGCATCAAAACAGGCAGAGCTGGAATGAGGAACCACCATCACCTTTCAACAGGGAGTGGAAACTGAGGCACAGTGGGTTATGCTTCTGCAGAGCAGGGGTGGAGGAACCCTGGAGGAGGCAAACGCTTCCTCTCACCAGCCAAGCACGTTTGTTAACACAACTTTTGCCTCCGCAGACCTTTACCCTCCTAATGCTCCGTTCCTAGAGACCGCCCACAGCAGGCACATCTGGCAGAGGATCCACAGCACTGCTGGAGGGTCCCCGGTGCCCAGGCACAGACACACTGACCCTGCCCATACCTGAGGCACGGGGAGGGAGAGGAGTCCACGGAGAACCTCCCTGCACCAGGAACAGGGATGCAGCATCCTCCATCACCCCATATGTGCCAGCACCCACATGACCACACTTTGGATCCACCCAAGATGGAGTATCCTGCTCTAGAAAGATCCTTAGCCAACAGTTAGGTCCTGAGGAACGCCAGCTCCTTTCTGTAAGGTCATGGCCATAGAAGAGATGTCCTCTCCACAGCACAACATGCAGCTGGAGGAAACACTGGTGCCAGGGAAAAAGGTGGAGGAGAGCTCAGCCAGAGCCACATTCTTGGTCCTGGAATGTACTGCTAGAAGAGAGAGGGACCAGACGTGACCAAGCAGTGGGCTGGGTGGGTCAGGATGTGCCAGTGAGAGCAGCTCTTCTGCCTGGCTACAGTACAGTGTCCACTCCACCCTTGGGTTACAGGAAGGGGAGTGGGGCAGAAACTCCCAGTGCTGATGGTCAAAGCAGATGCTGCAACTTGAAGACAAGGTCCCACCAAATCCCCACAGGCTGTCTGTTGCTTCTGCATGCTGATGGGAGCCTGGATGCATGCTCTGCGTGAAGGCTGGTCCCATCAAGAATGACCCAGACCTTAAATCCAGCCCCCTTCCTGCACTTTCTTTTGGAATAACTAAACCCAGCGCTTTTGTGTCCTACACAAGATTCCTATTAGGTGGTTCTTGTGGTCTGCTCTGGAAACGGCTGCTGAGCACGGGTGGGCTGAATGATCCCAGGACAGCCAAGTCCATGGCGCCCACATTGGGCAGCATCCAGCACCAGGACCCTTAGTGAGGTCACCCCAAGCAAGGGGACCCCATCCACACTGAGACTCACAAAGCCCTCTGAGATCCTGCAGCTCATGAGTAGTAAGATGTGTGTCTGAGGGCCAGCAGCCCTGTCACACTCACAGTCCCAGTTCTCCGCTTCGCTCGTTTGATTTATTACTCACAACTGTCCCTTACAGACTGCCTGGGAATTTCTAAGGATGGGGAAATCAAAATTAGCAAATGGCTATTGTCTGTAAAAAGCAATACCAGGAACTGCATGATGTTTGCAAAACAGGACTTGGCAATGGGAAAAACTAAAAGATGGTGGGAGAAGGAAGATCCTTAAAACACACAAAAATAAAAAAGTCTGGAAGAACACAAAAACTGGGAAGCAGAGGGACAAGCACGCTCGGGGAGCTGACGAAGCCAACAGCCAAAATGTGCAACTAAAAATAAGAAATAATGAAACATAATGGGTGTCAGGCCACAGCTCTCTCACCTCTCCCCTCCAATTTCTTACCATCACTAGTGGAGTCGTTACTCAGCGAGCCTCTTTCTCGCTGCCCCTTATCGCAAGACATTTGGCGCATGACAATCACACCTATGAAGTTGGCTGCTGTCGTGGTGGTCTTACCGAGTGCTCGGAGCTCCTGCTCCTGCATGGAAAAGCGTTTACTTTGACTCTTTTCTCTACTGTGCTGCTCGGAGCCTGAGGCTGCGTGCTGCTGGTCCAGAGGGTGATGGTGCTGCTGGCTTTTCCCCTGTCCTCTGCCATAGTGATGAGAAGAACCAGGTCCGGAGGCGGGCAAAGGTCTCGACTCCATGGCTTTAATGGGCGAAGGCGACTGTTCGAGGTTGGCCCCACTGGGCAGCTTTGAGGTGTAGACGTTGTTGTCAGTCTGGGCTCGTTCTGTCTTGGCTTCCCGCACCCTCGAGGCCTCTTTCTGCAGGATGGCCGGGTCCAGCGGGGCTGCGTAGCCGTCGGCCGCGCTGAGGGAGGAGCGCAGGGTAGAGGCTGAGGGGAAGGCGGTGGAGCGGATCGGTGACGTGGTAGTGGTGGAGGAGGTTCTGGAAGGAAAATGGAGACAAGGCCAAGATGAGAGAAGCACATGAAAAAAGGAATGCTGTTACCAGAGCCTCAGTGTCCAGCCTTGCCCGGCCAAGCTTTTCCCAGGGCTCCTGAGTGTAGGGTTGGCCTGTGCTGGGGCCAGCGAGGAGGGCTTGGATGGAGCCTCCACCATAGTAACTGGCCACAGGGTTATTGGGCCTGGATGACTGGAGAGCATAAAATCCATGGACAGGTCCCAGAGACCTTCATAACTCCACCACCAGGCAACCTTCAGCAAGAGGAGCAATACCTATATTTGGGCACAGGCACACTCCTGGTTTCTTTCCTGGCAGCAGCAAAAGTCACTAAAGAAAGCAAAGGAATTGGGCACCAAAACCTGCCTCTCCCCATCACAACTTCCCTGGAAGCCCCACTCCTGTTTCCACCGAGACTGAAGGCCAAAACAGTCCTCTCTCCATCCCCATGGCTCGTTATAATTAACTGCCACAGCAGCACAGTGACAGGAGCCATGGCAGGGGGACATACCGCAGGACGGAAGGGGTGGGGGTCTCCGAGGAGATGATCTTCATGCTCGTGTTGTGGAGCACGCTGGGGCGCTGCTGGATGGTCTCGTGGGTGCGGGGTGAGACGGGAGACTGCTGGTGGCTGTGAGAGTGGGAGGACGAACGGCTGCTGGACTGCTCCGTACCTGGGGGACAACACAAGGAATGGCTTCTTTAGCTCTTCATCCTACAGCCCCACCTACCTCCACCCAGCACGGGCCCCAAGGTGTGGTGCTGGACTCTTGCCTGGCCTACCTGGTCTCCAGATGGGCGCATGCTCCACCGTGGTGGATGCTAGGATGGATTTTTCACGCTCCCTCTCCCGCTCCCGTTCCCGCTCCCGTTCCCGTTCGGACACCGACGATCCCGACTGTTTGGTCATGTGCGTGGGGCCTCCTGAAACCCAACCGAAAGGCAGTGAGATGGCTGCAGACACAGCAATTCCCCCGGGAACACTGCCTGCTCTTCACATTGCTGTGTCTGCAGAGCAGATAAGGAACAGCTCCATCCAAGGTCACCTGGAGCAGGACAGATGAGGGCAACCAGCGTGACAAAGCCCAGACAAATCATGGAATAGCTGTCCTGCCGCCACCTCTGGGGTATGACCTTCCACAGAGATGTTTGCCAGCTGCCACTCTGGGGAAGAAGGGGGAAAAGCAGGGAAGCCCCCAACAAGCAGGGAGGGAGGGAGTCAGTGGACTGGTCACTGAGTGAGAATTAATTTGGGGTCTCCCCATCTGCCCTGGCATGCTGAGCCCATGGCCCGGGATTGATTAAGAGTGTCCTGCTCAACCGTTTTCCCCTGGGAAAAGCAACCAGCAGTGTTACCTGGGGAGAGTGGGGAGCTGCTGTGCCGACTGCCAAAGGTCTGGGGGGGCCCAGGGATGTAGGTGATGCGGTCCATGGTCGGGGCAGAGGTGCCAGGGGTAGGGGGCACGAGGACAGGCAGGTGTGGCACTTGGGACAGGTCGATGATGCCTGGAAAGAGAAGTGAGAGGACCGTCAGTACAACGCTGACCTGTGGCAGCTTGGCCATGCTGGAGCTGTCAGTGCCAGCCTGACCGAGCCTCCTCCTCCCAAACTGCCCCCAAACCCCTGGACAGTGCCGTGCTGGAAGCACCTGCTGCATAGTTGAGGGCAAGGGAGGGCTCCCGGGGCGACAGGCCGCGCAGCATGTCTGCCCGCTGCGCCATGGCCGTGGCCGCGGCGTTGTGGTGCATCTGCTGGGACGTGATGTAGTCGTTGATGATGGTCTGTCGGTTCTCCATGGCCGCCGTGTCCGGGTAGCCCCGGATGAGGTACGGGGGGTACAGGTGGGGGTACGTGGGGCTCGGAGCCAGATGCCTCGGCAAGTAGTAAGCAGCAGCTGGGAGAGAAAAGGATGCAGATGTGATGTGGCTTTCCCCAGAGACCTCTGGCTTTGAGAGCATAGCAAGGAAAAAAACAATCCCAGACAGACTGTGCCCACAACAAAGGTACCTGCTTCCAGTTGGATTCCCCTGGGGATGGCGGCGGGGTCGAAAGGCAGCGGGATGTGTCCTCGGTACAGGTCGACCCCACTCACACCGCGGAGCAGGTGCTCGTACGGGGAAATGGGGTGGTGGTGGTCAGGCACAGGGGCGTGCGGAGACTTGGAGTTGGTGAGCTCTCTCGATGTGGGGGTGATCTTTCTGTCCTGGGACACCGGCTTCCCAGCAGTGATGCTCCCTGCAGTAAGCAGAAGGAAGTGAGTCAGAGACTGAGTGCCGTGGCCAAGTCATGTCCCTGAGGGATGCCTGAGGCCAAGCGTGTCCTCCAGGGACACTTGTAGCTACCCTGAACTCAAGGGACCTTTCCCCTCCCTGCACTGCCATGCCCTGTTACACCACCAAGGTCGAGGGAGGCCAAGTCCCACTTGCCCCTGGGAGAGAGGCCTTTCCCAAACCATTCCTCTACCCCAGCACATCCATGCTGGGCGGTCTGTGCATTCATCCTGGCCTGCACAAGCAGCCAGTGGTGGAGCCTTCCTTGCGCTCCTCGGCACAGAGGTCATGGATGCTGGGCAGAGATGGGGACCCTGAAACTCCTGGCAAGGGTGATGAAACATAGTTTAGTGTGTTTCGAGTACTTGTCATTCCCTGGAGCCAAAAACTCTTTCCCAGCACACAGAGGGGAGGTTGGATCATGTTAGGGACTTCTCCTGGCTCTCCCAGGAAAGAGAGAGAGCTGGGCACTGGGGGCACTTCTCATCCAACCTGAGACAAGTGTCACCAGCTCCTGTGTCCAAGCCCACAGGATGGGGACAGTGGCTGGCATAGTCACCCCAAGCAGTGTGACCAACCCCCTTGCACCAGACTGCACACCAAATGCTGCCTGGGTATTCCTGCTGGCTGGGCGTCCCAGACTCAGTTTTTGGCAGACTGTGATGTCTTGTGTTGCACACTCCCACATCACAAGACTCTTGGATTAGGACGTGGATTTGCAGGTGGGAGATGCAAAAGGCTCTGAAACAGTTACCCATAGCCAGCAGGCTTGTTTGGGCAAGGTGTCTTAGGGACTGGCTTCTGCACTGATCCTGCCCACAAATGTGCCAAGAAGTAAGAGAGTTGTTTGTGCTCTGGATCTGAATGTGTCTTACCAGACCACTGAGCCCAGCCCATACATGTGCCTACTCCTGGGGAGCCCAGGTCTGACTCTGGGAGGAGGAGATGACCGATGCCAAGGCACTCAGATGGGCAGGGGAGATGTCAGAGCATAAAGACCATCCCACTGCCTGGACCCACTGACTCAGAAGGGATTAGATGTTCCTGGAGGTGAGGCACTCAGGTGCCCAGGAGATGGATGAGATGGGCAAACACATATCAGGTTGGTGAGAAGTGTGAAGATCCCCCACCCAGTGCCCTAAGCACTGTTTTCCTGCCCACCTGTGGAAAACAGAGTGCCGTGGGCCAGTGCTGGGACAGGAAAGACGCTTTTGAAATACCAAAGGCTTCACCAGCCACAGCCCAAGTCTCCCTTTGGTTACCCTGGTGCAGGTGAGGTGCCCTCACTTCAACCATGTGAGCACCTCCAGGAAGGGTGCTGAGCCCCAGCTGTGCCTGGCAGCCACCCCAGTGCTGTGAGTCAGTTGTAGGTGCGGGGCGCTGGGAAGAACGGGTTCAACAGGGACCTGCTGGGAACAGCTCGGGCAGGTGGGGTCAGCAGCCGCCTCCCGCACACCTCCCCTGCTTGGCTGCTACGAACTGGAGCATCAAATAAAAGGTTTGCCAAGTACCTTCGTGCTGCCGTGGCGTGGACTCCCGTGTGGAGACCGGAGACCCTCTGTGCAAGTGGCTGCTGAACGCGGTGCTGTGCCCTGCCTGGTGGTCCTCATAGCCGAGGGCACTTTGGTGGGCCTTGCTTGGCTCGGGTACAATCACAGGAGCCCCTCTGGCAATGGAGCCACCCGAGTTTGTCACTGGGCTTGGCCTGTTTTTCAGGCTCTCTTCATAAGCTCTCTCTAGATTCCTCGGGTCTTGGATGACGTCCAGTGAGTGCACAGAGTGAAAAGTCCTGCCGGGACTGCCGATGATGGATCGCACGTCGTGCTTTTTGGTACTTGAGGAGGAAGAGCTGCTGTCATACTTCAGTGGGGTACCCTGGGGACAGGAGGCAGAGGAGACATCAAAGGCGCATAGAGCAGAAGGGGATGCAGCGACCGCATCCCACCAAGTTTCAAGGGGACTCTGAGTCCTCATTCACTGGGTCAATACATCAGTAAAGCTTCCTTGAGCAAACAGCAACAGCCATCAGCAGAGCACAGAACCACTCGGCACGGCACGGGGCAGGGTGGAGTGCCCATCTTGCATGTCTTGTTGTGCTCCAACAAGATGATGATGAGTCACTGCTGAAGGCTGGCTGTGCCCATCACGCCTCTCTCCTACACACACAGTGAAATGGGGTAGGACTACAAGGTGCCATGGGAACCCTGCAAATATTTGGAGCCCAACAGGAGATAGTTTCATCCTAACTACTGGCCCTGCTGGGTTACCACTTGCCCAAAAAGGGAGGAGACCAATTTTATTTGCACCCTGAGTTACAACTGCCGAGGGTACGGAGTTGGCTTTGGCCTTGAAAGAGGTAAATGTGTCCCCTTCCATTTACACATGTAGATGGAGCATTGTTTTCTTAATGTGCAAGGACAACCTGTACCCCAAAGCTGTCTCTGCTCTCCTTTTACCTTGGGAATGGTCCCCAGGATCTGTGCAAAAACAGCAGCCTGAGTATGACTGATCACATCTGCTGTTCATCCCACACTCACCTGCGTGATGGAACCTTCCTTCAGAGGTCTCGTCAGAGAGATGTCCGGTGTCCGCCTCAGCTCCTCACGGGGAATCTCATGGATTGATCTTCCTGCTTCTTTCACCGTGGCTACCAAGTCTTCATGGGCTGATTTCATTTTCAGAGGAGTAAGGCCCTCATGAGATCTGACCTTGTAGGCATCAGATAAGTCCCTCGGTGGAGTGTTTTCCCTCTTGAGCTGTTTGGCTTCTCTTCTGAGGTAGTCCTCATGGGCCTCCACATAGGACCGAGGTATTCCTGCAACCCCCAAGCACATGATGGATGCAGAGGGAGATTCCCCAGCCAGACACTGGACTCCCACTCCCCATGCAGATGCTCAATTCAAGGGGGTCTCTAGTTAACATATGTAAGTCAGGGACTAGTACCCAACTAAGCACACAGAGCAGCTGGACCACCTCAACATCTACCACCACCTTTCTGGACCCATTTCACACTGATTTCAATCTGTTCCATGTGAATCACTGACAATTTTGTCCCTGACTTGGGCAGAGTTTAGGTTGGTAGAAACTGAGCAAGACTAAAAATCTCTCTGAGCACATAGCAGGGGGCTGCAAAAATTTTCAGCTGGACCTTGATGTGTCCATCCTTGTTTCCTCCTGTCCTACCCTGACAAAAAGAACAAGGGGCCATCCATGGAGATGCTTCCCCATGTTACCTCTGTCCGTGCCCTTCTGCTTGCAGGTTTTACCTTGTGTAATCGAGCCCCTCATGTGATGCTGCTCCTTCAGGTTATGGGGACTGTGTCGGTCTGGAGGGATCGCTCGACCCATGAGACCTAGAACAGATCCAAGAGGGAAAGTTGGGTTGTGACACAGGAGTTAATTTACAATGAATTCATGACAGTGTTACCAGGGACTCCTGAGACAAGAAAAAACATAATTTCTAAATTACTTATTTCTCTTTTTTTTTTAAAAATGTGCTTATTTTTAACCTATTCCTGAAACTAGTCTGCCAGGACAGAAACCAAAGGGAAATGGGCCAGTCTGTGCCCCTTGTCTTCCCATGCTGGTCAGATACTGTTGGGATGTGCTGCAGGATACCGGCCAACCACTGCCAAAACACTGGCACAAGAAGGTACATCATGTAGACAAGAGACAAGATGGGGTTTCCACGGGTCACTAACAAAACACAAGTGAAAGGTTTCACCCAGACCCACCTTCAATGCTGGCAGATAAGGTATCACGGGCTGATAAGCCCCGGCTGATCCTCCCCTCCATCATATCATAGGTCCGCTTAGTTCCTGTGGTCTCATGGGAAGCTCCCGAGCTCCTGCTGTCTTCTTTGGGACACTGAGAAGCAGCAACTCCACCTGGTGAAGGGAACATCAAGAGGCACCATCATGAGCATGGAAAGTCAGCATGGGCCAAGGGAGGGTGTTTACTGCTGTTTGCATGCGTTGCTGAGAGGTCAGATCCCACCCCAGCATCAGCCACCGCTCCGCAGTGCCAGAAATATTGCATGGGATTGGCTTCCAGGAAATTCAGCTGGTGTTTTCTCCCCTCCCTGCCTGCCTCAGACTCCAGATCTGTGCCTCCAGCTTGGGTAGGAGCATCCACCCTGACATGTCTCGCTCCCTCCTTCCCTTTCCAGTGGGGCCATCACGTAGGCAGTGGGACAGCCCGGAGCCAGTGTGGCATAGGCGGGACCAGCTGTGGTTCCCCTGAACTTGGCCCTCTGGGTCTGGGGAATTTTGTTTTTTTCCCCTGTTTGTTTTGATTTTTGCTAGACACCTACTGTTTGGGATCTTGGCCAGCCTTAACATTTGCAGAGACACTCCCTGGGTGAGAAAATCAGGGAAAATGGCAGAGAGGCAAAGCTGAGAATGATTACTTTGAAACAGTGGTGAGCACACATAAGAACTGGGAGAGATGGTGGAAAGTCCCATGAGGGACTGATGGAGTAAGTGCTATTGTGAGGAGAGACCACTTACTACCCCCTCATCTGAACCTGGAGCAGGTTCCCTGCAAACAAACAGTGGACATCTGTCCTGAGCTACAGCCCCATCACAAGCACAGTTCTGCCCGTGCCAGGCAGCATCCCACCCACCCCAGGCGATGGGCACCCATCATGTGTGGTGAGCTGTAAATTCAGCAGCTTCTGATCCAGCTGAATGCCTCGTGTTTATGTAACGAGCTCCGAATGGGATGTCAGCTTGGAGAGGAAAATGCCTCTGCCCATTGTCCCTGGCCAGGCTACCCCTGCCAACGATCGCCAGTGCCCTGACCCTTCTCTTTATCGGCAGAGAAGGTGGTTGTACAATTAGAGAAAACGGAGAAGTTAAAAACATTCATTCCATTGTGGACAATCAGGAACAAAACTCCTCCTCAGCAAAACCAGTAATTAATAAAATGGGATTATTACAACTTCACACCCACTGTTGGTTTCCGCAATCAGCACCCACTCAATCCACGAAGTGTTTGGGGCTGTGTGTGGGGAAACAAGGGGGTCCGTGCCTGAGCCTTCGCTTCAGCTCCATTCTACAGGAGAAATCCGGGGGTGACATTCAGAATCAGCCAAGCACCGTGTGGCAGACGCGGGCGATGTGCCCGCACCCTGTCATCAAGGCACATCTGTTGCCACCAGCCCTTCTGCAGGAGGGGACGTGCTCCCAGGCACCCTTTGTACCACCGGGAAGCAGGGGGAGGGCGTGAGAGAGAAGAGAGACTAAACAGAAAGAAAACCACTCCAAACCCACGTCCCTCGCCTTCAGCAGCCATCAGCAATCATATGCAGGATGAGAATAACCAATCTAGCACAATTCAGCTCACACATGCTACAGGATCTCGTCTCATTACAGCTCTTTTATTTTAAGCACCCTCATGACACTAAAGAATTTGCAATTTTTTTCCTGCTTGCCAAAATTCATAATCACGAACAGTTTCAGTTTTCTTATTTAATTTTTTTTTTAACTCTTCTGCTCCTGGTTGCACAGCCTTGCCAGGCTGTACGGGGGGGGGAAGGAGAGAGGCAGGGCTGGCAAGGCTGCAGCAGCACACGGGATCACTTGGGATGTGATAAACGCTATCAAGCATGTAAAAGGCTGCTGGGGAAAGGAAGGAATTAATTCCTCATCTATGTCCATGGGGGGTAGGATGAGAGGTGACAGGCACAGGCTGCAGCCAAGGAGACTCAGGCTGACATGAACAGCAGGGAAGAGTTTGGTCTGCAGCTCTCCTTCACTGCCCGGAGCAGGATCCCAGATTTGGGCATGGGCAGCCCTCCCTGCCAGGAGCCCTCCCCATCTCTTCCTGATGGCACCATTTCTGAGATCAGCCTCGTTCGACCCCCAGCCCGGGCAGAGGAGATTAAAATAGCTTCTTGCACAAACAAGTCCTGAAACGCTTCCTGCGTCCTCCCCGGTCCAAGCCCTGCCAACTGTCCCAAAGGGCACCCAGTGCTCCACAGTGACACTTCTTATCTGGGCTAGAGTTGACAGTGGATATGGGGAGGCATGGGATGAGCCAGTTTCCACGTGGCAGGCGAGAGGCACGGCACAAAGCCCTGTCCTGAAAGGTCCTGTGGTCCCAGGGCATGCACAGAGGTGATATCAGCTGGAGCTTGTGAGTTGTCCCCCCATGGCCTGACCTGAACCCTCTGCCCTGGATGAAACAACCAACCGTGATGAAACCAGCTGCCGGCACTTGTGGGTAAGAGGAAAGGGACTTCTTCAGGACACACTCTGCCTGCAGGACTGACTGCAGGACCCCAGGGAGGGATGCTCTGCCCCAGGGAGGCAGAGGGTTCAGGCAGCACAGCAGCTGGCCAGAGACACCTGCTGAGGTGGTTGAGGTTGGAATCTGCTTCTTAGCCATCTCCCAAATGCAACTGAGAAGAGAGGTGACACATGAGGATGGCCGTCCCCATGCACACCAGAGCACATGCCAGTATTTTACCCCAGGAGGATGCGGGGCTGCAGAGCCTAACTCAGCTCTTCCTGAGCCCAGCTGTGGGGTAGGAGGAGCCCGGCTCCACAACAAGGGATGCATGACCCAGCACACAGGGAAAGGTGAGAACTAAGGCGTTGCTTCCAGCCTCACTGCAGAGGAACATCTGCCTATCTCCAATGGGAGGCACCAGGATGCAAAGAGCAGCTCTGATGGCCAGTGCTGCACTGGGCTGAGCAGGCGCAGAGGAGGCAGGAGCAGCTGGTGACCACCTGCTGGTACCACTAACACAGCGAGGCACCGCCGGCATTTACTGAGGAAGCGCCTTACTGTGCCAGGGGGTGAGGCAACAGGCCAACACATCCCCAGACAGACACCTCGTGGGATGCAGGAATGGCTTCACGCCCCTCAACAGCTCTAGCAAAACTCACTAGATACTGAGGCACAGTGCTGCCGGACCCAGGAGGATTCCTTGCAAGGCAGCCCCATGCTGGAAAAGCTACATAGTGTCCAAGACACTGCAGGTGAGAATCTGATGTCCAAATAAACCTTTATACCAAACTACTTGATTTGCCTCCATCTTGCATGTTCTTGAGTCCGCCTTGGCCCAAGAGTTTGGGGATGCTCTTGTGATGCTTTTGATCAGTCCCCCTCCTGCACAGGGTGCTTGGGATGAAGGCAATACCTTCCCATCTGGTTCTCTCCTCTTCCCTGCTTCCAGAAACCAATCAAAACCATTGCAACCCTGCCTGCCAGCAAGCTGTCTCTGAGGCAAGATAACCACACAGGAAAGAGGGACAGAGAGCAGCAGGGTGGGAAGGGAGAGAATTGACGCTGGAAGCAAGACATGAGGCTAGCCCATTGCAGTTTGTCAGCCTTTCCTCAAATGGCTCCTAACTCCCAGCCAGGGTGGCACAAACCCCCGGCACCTGCCCTAAAAAGGCAGAGAGTTAGGACTTACCCTCGTAGGACAGCACGTGGCCTTTCTTCCCTTCGTAGATGACATGTCCTTTGGGCACGGCATCCTCCCTTGCCTTCTCTGCTCTGCTGGGGCTGTCTTCTCCGATTATCCTGGTAATGGTTCCTTTGTACAGCACTTCTGCCGGGGTGCCCTTGGAAAGCCACCAAGATCCATATTTAACAGTGTCACAAGCAATTAAGCAAGCGCCCGCGCAGGGACAGGCTGTTCCCCACGGGAGGCTGAGCGGAGGGAGCGCACCCGGCCTCCGCTTCCTGGCGCAGCCAACAGCAAGGGACTTGCAGCTTAATTATTGATGAGGATGATAACAAGGAGCGGTAAAAAGGTACGTGATCTGTGCGAGGCTGCTGGGAAGAGGCGGGGGACGAGGACAGCACAGACCTCCAGAACAGCAACTCTCTCACCCTGCGTGTTTCAGAGTAAGCTACCTGGCTTGCTTCTCCTCCCAAGGTTTGGTTGCCCTCCTGGTGACACCCTGGTGACAGCAGGGATTGCTCGAGTGTTAGCTTTTCCCCTTCAGCCTATTTCCCCACTCTGGCACAGGAGCCACAGAGAAGTCCTGCCCACCCAGGCAGATCTGCTGGCAGCAGCATGACCTTCAGCGAGCTGCCTGTGTGCGGGAGCTGGCGGCTGGCAGCGCGCCCGGGCGAGATGGCAGCAATGAAATCGGTCCCGGAGCAGGTCGGGGAGCGAAGGCTGCCTTAGCTCTCCAACAGGAATAGCATTGGGCTTCTCACACAAACTGGTGTGAAAAAAACCCTCTCCTTCCCCCAGGCACACACAGACATAGCTCACAGCCACCTGCCCCCGGAATCCCCTTCAAAACACACAGAACTGGATGTCCTCGAAGAGTCGTTGGTGATTAACACCCCTCTGCCGTTGTAACCTGTCGGTGCCAACTGGGAACAGCCACCATGGGCTGATGGTTCCCCTCCCCATCTCTGGAAAGGCACAGCAATGCTGTCAGAGTGAAGCTCTTGACTGACACCTGCCTACTCTGATCGTTTAACCCCTGCAACCCCCAAGACTGATGCATGCCTCAGGGGATATGATGCCACAGGCAGCTTTGCTGGTGCTTGCAGGTTATGCCATGCAGGCTATTTCCCCACCCCTGCTTGGGGATGCTCCTGCTCTGTGCCAAACCCTCAGAGCACCAGCAGTCCCCAAAACCCTGCTGCTGTTGCCAGGATGTGGCAGCGCAGGTTCAGTGCTCCGGTCATTCACCCTCGCAGTGCACCCAGGAATGGCCCTCCCAGCCCCAGGTAATTCACCTCCCTCCTGTGGACATGAAAGCAAGTGATGACAGATGGCTTCAGAGCAGAGAGCATATATGCAAGATTTGCCTCCTGTGAACTGGATGACTAATCTGAGATCAAATATCAGCTCTAGTACTGGGAGCTGCTGCCGGAACAGGGGGCTCCTTCTCCCCACAACGGGAGCAGAGGGATGCAGGCTGCTGAGCCAGCAGGAGAGGCAGGCAATGCCCTGCGTCTGGGCTTGGTACCTTAATCCCAAGCCAAACAAAGGAATTTATTAGCTGGACTCATTAGCTGAATGCAAAACTGTCTCAACAAACTCTGCTGATTTCCTGAACTCCCACATGGTGCTCAAGGCCCTTGACGCCCACCCACTGCTGCCCATAGCTGCTGCAGGAGCATCTGAGAGGATGGAGCAAGTATTTGCTCTGATGGGTTATTTATAGCCCCCAAGCACCCACTCCTGGCACCTGTTGGACACAGGGCACCAGTCAAGCTAAGCCTTTGCTCTGGGCCAAGATTCAGGATCAGGTCCCCAGGGCCAAAGAGAACATGGTCGTTCCCCTTGAAGGAGGCAGGCAAAAATCTAAGCCTGAGTGGCTTTAAATATCTGAATGATGGCCAGATAAAATCCCCATGGGAAGCAGATTTTTTTTTCTTTAATGCTCTCCGCTCTGTTACCAGATGAGCAATAACTCACACTGCAAGGAACTATCACCCGCTTGCCAGCTGCTCTTCTGAAGATGGATGGTGGAGATTAAGGCCAAAGTATCTTCCTGCTGAAGAGCCTTTGGGCAGGACCCCCAGCACAGCACGCTCAGTGCTGGCACGAGTCCTCGCTACCTTATGTGCCCCTCACAGCCTCAACCCTCCTCCACCAGGCCTGGGCCCTCCACCCATCTCCTCCTTTGCTCCGCTCCACTTTCTTGCCCTGGCAAGATGATTTTCCCAGATCCACTTAAAGCTGCCTTTGCCTCTGTTCTTGACAGCTACGTAAACCAAAGCAGGGTTTAAACGTGCTGTAAGGCTGCATTGCTGCTTGTCAGGCTCTGCTCTTCTGCAGTCTCAGCTCACAGGACATGGCTCATGCCATCCCAAGCAGAGGCTGCTTCCAGACCTCTCCAAGGGGCTCGATGGGGTGGGGCATCACAGACCTGCTGCACAGCCCTGTGCCCCACACTCGATGCACCCTGCAAACCCATGGTTCCCTCATCCACAAGCTGCAGCCACCAAAACCCAGGAAGCAAAAACTACTGGAAACAAGGAACCTACGTGTGTGATGGACCCTCGGTAGGTGATGGGCGACTCCGGAGGGGGTCTGGATGTGGGTGTTCCCTTGGTGATGCTCCCTCCAGAGGCAGAGCTAAGGGAAGTACCTGTAGGACACAAAGCCAGTGAGCTTGGGGCTGCGTTTGCTGTTCAGCACAAAACCCATGGGGCTGAGACTAAGTGCAGGATTTGAGCCCGCCACACTCAGGCTCCTGACTGCCTTACTGGGGGTGGTTCACAAACCAGAATTTGCACTAAAAAGCAACACCTTGGCATTTATTTTTTTTACCTGGCTAATGGGGAAAGAAACTTGAGAGAGAGTTGTATTTAAAGAAAATGTGGTCCCTGCCAAGCTGCAGCAGCAACAGTAAAGAGCACAAAAACACCAATTAATGGAATTTAAACATGTCTTGCTTTGTCTTACGTAACAGATTTTCGGGTGGCCCTTGAATGCAAAACCTTCACCAGAATCAAGACCCGAGGCCCTGATTTGGGGATACAGAGAAAAGGGGCAAAGAGACCCCTTGGGCTGGGCTCAGTCCAAGGAATCAAACCCAAGATAACCAGGCAGCTGCAGCCAGCGTAGCATTCACCAGGCTTGGCAGTGCCAGCATCCCTCCCCTTCCACAGCTGGGACACGCGCCTCCCACTCTGGGTCCTCACCCCGCAGGATGGAGCCCTCCTGGGACGGTTGTAGAACCAGACTTTCTGGCTGGCTGGCCTGGCTTCTAGGAGAAAGTTGTTCCTGCTTTACTCCAGGAAAAGGCACTGGAAAACATTAACCGCATATCAGCATAGCCGCAGGATACGGGGCTGCAGCCCTTGGCTGGTCGAGGCTTTTATTCCTGCCCACCCCAAGTTCGCACCTTTGCCATCCCCAGCTCTTTGGGATGGACTTCCCAGGGTGGTGAACACACAACAGGCAGCCAGCAAAGCCAGATCTTTCGCACTGGCAAAGGCACTGCCCACACTGGGACCGGAGCTGACATTGAAATCCTTGTGCTGGTTTATAACAGGACTTACACACAGTAGGAAACAGAGCCCATATCCCTGCTCCCCAGGCTTCATCCCTCACCCATCACCTCCTGCTGTTAAGAAAAGCTTCCAAATCTGCAGACTAAACACTTTCTTTGTTCACTTCAGGCCATTTACTCTTTATCCTACCAGCCTGGGGAGCAACAATATATTTCCTTCCTTCGATCACAGTATTAGCTGGAGGGTATTTATAGGCTGGGATGCATCCCTGACCGAGTTGCTGCTTTCCTATACCGCACAAATTTAGCTCCCTGTGTCTCTGCTCTCCTGACGGACTAATCCTTTCATCCTCTTAGCAGTTCTCTCTGTGCTCCCTTGCTGTGTCCTGTGCTCCTCCTTTCCCCTATGCTGCCAGCAAGCTCACTCCCTGCTGCTCTCAGGACACGCGAGAAACAACTCGCTTCCCAGTTCCTTACCCAGTTTCTTGGGATCCATGGTCAGTGGCAGGCCCATGGTGATGGAGCCGACAGGGACCTTGGCATGCTCGGAGCTGTAGGGTGTGTGGAGCTGGATGGGCATTCCCTGTGGGGCAAGAGGAGAGGTCAGGAGCGGCTGATGGTCCTTGTGAGGTGTCTCCACCGCTCACACCCAATACCCTACCTGGGAAATGGATCCGACGGGTCTCTCCAGCACGGAGGGGTGCTTGGTGGAGGAGATGAGGGGGGGAGGGTTGGAGATGCTGGCCAGTCTCTGCAGCCCCGAGCGAGAGCTCTCATGCAGGTTTAGTGGGATGGGGTGTCCTGTGAGGAAAACACAAACATTAGGGGGACCAAGGGCAGGCAGAGTTGCTGCAGCTATCAGAGAGGAAAGGGGCACGGGAGGGAGCAGGGGCTGGATGCAGTGAACTGGCCAGCTGTGAGCCTGCACAAGGCTCCAAGTCACATGACCATTTTGGAAAGGACTGGAATAGTTTAAATTACTGCCTTGTCCCCTCTGCAGCCAGAGGATGTGCTGTGCCCGACTTGTCTGCCCTCCAGTTGGAGAGGGACAGTGCAGCGAAGGATAAAATCTGCCTGACTTTGCACCCACACTGCTCTGTGACAAACCACATCCCTAAACCTGCCCCAGCCAGAGCTGTGAGACCCATGTGATCACTCATGAACCTTCAAGAGCCTGACCTGTGGTACTGGCTGCAATCACAGTCTGTGCTCAGCCTCAGGTCAGGCAGAGGAGGACACATACCACACAGCCAGTGGGTTCTACTTGCCTGGTGGGTTGTACTGGAACAAGTGGGGCTCTGCCTGGGGAGAGGTTTTGATCACATCCCGGGGGTAGGACAGGACAGGGGGCCAGCACGAGGCAGCCATCGACTCTGCACTCAGCTTCTGAGCCTCTGCGATGGAGGAGAAATGCACGGACTTTTCTGCAAGGGACACAGAAAGAAACCAGCTTGGTCAGCAGCCACCATGGGTGAGCGGTCTCTGCGAGCATGGGAAGGGAAGCCAGAGCCAGCTCCAAGCACAGGAAGTGGCTTCAGTTCCGTCTGACCTGGCCATGAGGTGAGGGCTGAATTCCCCAACCAAGCTAAAAGGAAAAAGCTCAGTGTTACCACCTGGATTTGACAGCATTTATTTTACTCAGATGCTTAAAGTGCAGCTGTGAGGATGGACATCTGTGCTGGTGACTCTGCTGGTGCTCACTGCCAGCAGAGCACTCCATGGACCTGGTGCCATCCCACCTCACCAAGGAGAGATGGCATTTGCAGCCAGTTGCAGGGTCCAGCTCCTTGTCAGGGCTTGGCCATCCATGAATCACTCCTGGGCAGCTCCTGCCTGTGCCCACAGCTCCACAGTGGCCACCATGGCATGGCAGGGAGATTAACAATGATCCTGCCAAATCCTCCACTGAGTTTAACGCCAAGAGGCACCAATGTCAGCGTCTCTTTGGTGCACGGGGGACACCCAGAGGGCACCAGCTCTCTGGTGACAACATGGTCTGTGGTGTGCAGCGGGGCACAGGATGCCTGCAGAGCTCCAGGCCACTGCCAGGGACCACTGCATACCAGCACACTGGGAACAAGCTCATCCCCACATCACACCGTGATGTGAAAGCTCAGCTGCTCCTAAAGGATGGCTGCTGGCTATAAATCATTTGCAGGCTGTGGGAAGTGTCCGGAAATAGTGGCATCAGCTTCTTGGACAGGAAGGGGATAACATGCTGATGTTCTCCGAACACCTGGGACAACCACACTGCCTGAGACTGTCAAAGGCAAACGAAGATGAAGACGGACTCTGTGGGACAACCAAATGAGGGCGGCCTGCTGTGAGGCACAGGGGCTGGGGGCAGGAAAGCTTCCTGAAATTACCCGGCTCAGGGCATCCTGGATGCCATTCTGGGTTCATCCTGGCTACAAAAAGGCTGATTGGAGGCCAAGAGGAGTTTAATGATGGAGAAACTGTGCTGGGGATGCCCGAACCCTGCCGTGCGCTGAAGGATGGCAGGGAAAAGAGAGGCTTCATCTGCACCAGCTCAATGCCAAGTGCATCCTCACGCTTTGCTAAGCAGACAGATGAGACAGCCTTTTCTGGATGGATTAGAGGCAGGTTTGGTAGGATTTGTTTGTAATCAATAAACACTTAATTTTGCACTGCCCTTCTTCTCCAGATCCACCTGTGTAACGTCCGCATTGACCAGAAATTAGAAACTGTGCAGTAAACAATAGCAATCACAAATGAACTCAGCCTTTAACCATCAATTTTTGATAAAAATAGATGCCTGAATCCTGCTAAGCCTAATAATAGGGCAAGTAGATTATCAGAGGCCCAATTTAATGAAGCTTTACTGCATTATCGTTATTAATGCTCAGTGTACTCAGAAGCTGGGAGATTATTCTTGCCCCCTTTGGTGAGAGAAGAAATCCATTCTGGGCACACAGAGGTGTGCAGGCACTCACACCTCCGCAGTCTGCGGGGGCCAGACCTTGGCTGGGGCCTCTTCTCTCCCCATGCTGGATCCCAGAGAGGATTCCTTCATCCTGCCAGTATAGGGGAATCCAGACACGTCCTCCACTCTGACTGAGAGTCCCTGGCACATCCATGCTCTCTGATCTTCCCCCCTTCAGCTCAGCCCCGCTCAGCTCTGCTCATGCGGAGGCGAACAGCGCTGGGATGTCCCAGCTGAAGATGCTCCCTGACGCCAAGGCACTGTCAGCCAAGGCTACATGCACCCTGGATGGCTCTTGGAGAGCCCCATCCTCCTCCCCTCCCCGCGGGAGCCATCCCCTCCCCTGCATGCCTCTCCAGCCTGTGAAATGTGGCCAGTTCCTAATTGCCCCCACATTAGAGGGTGGCTATAACTCAGCCAGCTTTTGATAAAATAGCACTTACGCGGGGAAGAGAGAGTTCCTATTACCGTTTATCAAGTCCCTGGAATGGGAGCGAAGGAGTCAGGGTTTATATGATCCGTCATCCAAATTAATGCTCTTGGCTCCCCATCGCCTACAAAGGCCAAATGAAACACAACTAAATCAACACAAAACATACTGCTGGAGTTCAAACCGCCGAGTGATAACCAAAGATATGCCTGACGGCAACTCGGCAATGGCAAAGGGGATCCGTCTGCCTGTCGGTGAGATCCAGGCAGGGCTGCCTGCCTCTGCCCAGCCCCGTGATTAGCAGCTCCTCTTGGAAGGCAGGGAAGGGAGGGCAGTGCTCAGGAAGGTACGGCTGGCTGGCCGCCCTCCAAGCCGATATGGCCCCAGCCAGCGGCTGCGAGGCAGCCAACGCCTCGGCCAGGATGTGTGCAAGACTTGGCTTTGAAGTGAATCCAGAGCGGTGTGAAGGATGTCGATCTCTGGAGCAGTTGCAGGAGTTCAAGCTCTCTTATTGAGCTTGGGAGTACCTGCTCCGGTGGAGCTGGCCCCTTGCTGGGAGGTGGCACAGGGCTGCTCTCCCAGAGGCTCTGCAGGCTGTAGGGGACTCTCCCCTTTAACTCAAGCCCCAAGTGGCAGCACGATGTCTGCAGTCTGGATGCTTGCCACTTCACTGGGATGCCTTGGAGAAAAGGGGAGGGAAGGGATGTACACAGATTTGCCAGGACTATCTGGCTATCTCCCTTCTAACCCCTGACCCACAGCTGGGATGTGTTCCAAGGGGCGAGACAGCACTGAGTCCATACTCGCACTGAAATCAGGGCTTTGGGGGAGTTGATTTCTCTCTGAGGTGACTCATCACAAACCTTCTGGTTTTCAAAGGGGAGGTGCATTCCCATCACAGACAGAGAAGACCAGCCTATGACTCCCTGGGGTCCACGTGCATCGCACACCCACCGTGGCACCCAGCACACATGCAGAGCCATGCAGGGCTTGGAGAGCACACAGCTGGAGGCCAAGTCCTGCTGAGATGTTTGCAGGGTACAGGGAGGTGTAATTAATTTCATTAACATGGAAGATTCAGAGCACTACAGAAGAGAGAATAAAGTGCCTCATATCATTAGTGCTTTGCAGAGAACAAAGCAACAAAAGACCCACTGGGATAACAGATCCTTGTATTTAATAATGGTGCCAGCAGGTCACAGAATGGGATGATTGACTCCAACACCTAAACCCTGCCTTGTACCTCACACACACAAGTCTGCCTCATCTCCTCATCCTCCTGTGGCCAGGAGGAAGCTGGAGCTGCAGCACTGAGACATGAGCAATGCAGAGCTCTGGGCTGGAGTGCTGGCCAAGGCACCCAGTGCACCAGGAAGCTGAGCATTGCAGCATCAGGTCCACACAGGATTAGGGCACAGGAGGTGCCTGACACTGAGGGGGAAGAGTTAGAGAGGAACTGTTCCGCCTGGGCAACAAACAGGAACACAGCAAAATCAGATCAACTGGAAATTGGACTTCACAGGTGGCAACACCACGACTTCAGGGAAACTCCCTTTCTTTCAAGGTGAGCAGTCACCTTCCTTACTTATATGCAAAACATTCTGAAGATGTGATGCACACATGGTGCTATTTATTATTTGAAAAAAATGCGGACAAGTGGCAGAAACCAACTCTCCCTGCAAGGGCACCCGTCTGTCCAGAGGGGCATGACAGCTTGAGGAATAACTACCTGGTCCAGGACACACAGAGCAGGCTGCTACGATCCTGGCTGCCAGAGGGTGAACTAGTGCAGTGATTTTCCAGCAAAGATCACCACCCAAGTCCAGTGCAGATCTGCCTCCCCAATACAGTCTTATCCACCTTCCTCTTCCATGCACAAGCAGGTAATTTTTGCAGCTGCACCCGCCCCTGTGCAGGATCCAGCACTGGGGGACAATGCACCCACCCAGCCCGACTTCCCTGCTCCTGACTGTGACACTGGTGACAGCATCTCATCCTCCCACACAACTGAGCCACAGGCTGCCTATGAGAGGCAGGGATGCAGACGCTGAACTGGAACAGACTCTGACACTCAGATTAAAAACACATTTAGAGGATGGTCTCATCAGGACTTCCCGTCTCTCCTTAACCTTGATCCCCAGGTGCTCAAGCTAATAATGCTTCAGATGCTCTACGGTGGGAAACTCTGAATTGCTCATTAAGCAGCCAAACCACATCAGAGCTATTCCGGGGAGAAAGCACTGGGAATCTTTACAGGAACCTTTGGACTCCGAGTCACAGTATTAGCATTGATTTTAAATGAAATAATGGTCCCTGCTGTGCATTAAAAGCATTCTTTATAGAAAGCCAGCAAGGTAGAAAAGAGCCATTGTACCCAGAGCCTTGGCATGCCTCCAGGCCCCTCTGCTCTCCAGTGAATGGCAGAGACGCTAATAAAGGCAATCTTCACCTCCTCGGCGCTCCACACTGGCCGGTGTTTGCTGTAGGCTCAATGAGACATGATGTACTGTCTAATGAACACGGGAAATTAGCCATGCCTCTCTCGTCCTGCCTCAAGATGCTATTAAAGAGCTTTCAAGGGTCGACGAAAGCTTTCACCTAAGAGGAGGAGAGCTGCCGGCTGCGTACAGCTGCACACACTGGGCATTTCCGTGCGGATACACACGCACCGACACACACACAGCCCTACCTTCCTTGTCACCAACAGCGGGGCTCCGGCTCTTTCCCCTGGGACTGCTGCTGGGCTGCTGCTGCTCCTTCTCAGGCTGCTGCTGCTGGGGCTTGCTCGGGGGCATGTCCTCACGGGCAGACTCGTGGGCTTTTGTGATCTGCTGCTGGTAGAGAGCCAAGGCGTGGGGAGGTACCTGAGGCTTCACGCTTCCACTCTGCAATATCCCCTCTGAGAAACCTTCGGAAATCTGCAAAGCAGTAAGAATTGGTGACACTTGTCATGTGTTGTTGACATCTGTAACAGTCTTGGAGACATCAAGATGTCATGAGAACCCCCTGTCCCATCCTGGCAAGTCTTGGCAGGGCAACAGGGCTTCAAAGCTCACCAGCCACAGGAGATTAAAAAAGCCCATGACAAAGCATGTCAGCCCTGTGCTCGTGATGCCACAGGAGAGACTCAGATTTGTTTAAACCTCTAATCTATAGTTACGTGCTCATAGCTTTTCTCAGAAGTTACATTACAGCAGCCACATCTTCAGCTGTAACATGGGAAACTGGAAGAGCATCAGGAATGAATCCTCTCTGAGCACCCAAACCCCAAGGCAGGGATTTCCTCCCTGCTCACACTGTGCTGCTGCTCCTCTGGTGCTGACTCTGGAGACAGCAGGATGTGTTTCATCACAGCCCAAGCCACTGCACCAGGAGGAACCAGCAGCCTTGGAGAGTAACGTTCTTTCAATTCACAACTACTGGGTAGCCAAAAAGAGACCAAGCAAAGCTTCTGGGTGAGAAAGAGCATAAGTACTTCTTAGGTGGTATCCTTCAAGCACATGAGATGAAATGCAGGGCTGGGAAGGCGCACTCTTGCTTTTTAAAGCAATGGGAGGCAGCAGTCATGTGGCAACGAGAAGCTTTTTCTGTCCAGACCTCCCACGACTTTCTGATAAAAGAGCTCAAGAGACATCCAAACGCTGCTGGCAGAGCTGCTCCAGCAGCTGGGAACACGCTCTGCACAGGGAGCACCTTGCCTGCCCGGGGGCTTGCACCACCCAGGCACAGCTCTCTGTGGACCACAGGCCATCCCCAGGGATGAGCACATCCTTGCAACCCTGACGCACACCACAGAGCCCAAAGGAAGAGCGCGCATGAGGCACAGGCAGTCACTGTGCTCTCAGTCTCGGCCCTCTCTGGTGGGGTACTCACGATGGGAGGGATGGCAGCAGCTCGCTGCTTCAGCTGCTTCAGGTCCAGTGGCTTCTGCGGCGAGGAGTTGAGCCTGGTGTCGCTGGTGGTGTTGAGCAGGCTGGGCCGGGGGGACAGCAACCTGGAACCAGCAGATGCACGTCAGCAGGGTAATGCCACGGGCACATTCCATGTCCCACCCCACACCCTGCACCCCTGTTTTATGCTGCTGAGCCTAGAGAACATCCTCTGCATGAAAGATGAGCGTGCTGGACCACTGCTTGCTGCTGGGAATCTGAGCTCAAAGTCCCAGAGGACTTCGCGCTCAAATGAGACCCTTACATCTGGCTCAGCAGGCTCTCAACCCCTTTCCCTCATCCCCACGCTATTCCTAACAAATATGCTGTTGTCCAGAATAAACCTGAGGGAGAACTGGAGCCTGGAGCTGGGCATTACAGAGCAGGGTGACCAGTTGGGAGTTCACATGGGCATCATGCTACCTTCTGGAGTTCCATGTGGTGCTCACCCAGAGCTGGGGATTGGCCCATGCTCCTCTTCAAGGACTGTCTTTTATCGAGGTGCTAAAGCTGGGACAAGCCACCACGGGCAGGCAGCTGGGGCGCTCGGGTCACTTGAAAGATGAGAGGCTGGATTTGGATGGGATTTGGTGCTCAGCAGCCCAGCAGCTGTGCAGCCCTGCACTCTCACCACTTGTTCTTCCCCTTGGCTGTTTGAGCTCCCTGGCAGACACTCAGCCAGCCGTGCAGAGTCCCTGTGTAAACACAGTGGGGATCCCCATGGTGCCACCAAAACGGGGTGGGATGGAGGTGTGCAAAGCCCGTGGGTCAAACCATCGGTGTGTCCAGCTCCCAGCTCCCATGCTGAGACCCTGGGGACCACATCTCTCCAGGCCATCTCTGCTTTCTCTCTCTCCTGACTTCAATTTGTTGAAGCTAGTTCATAGTTTTCAAGCTTTACAGCTTGATTTGTTTATTTTAGCTGTTATTTCAGTGTTCTCTTCAGCCTATAAATTTCAAGGTCATTCCATGCTCACCCTTGGATGAATAAACAAGCGTGGCGGGGCCATGTGTGGGGAATAAATTCATCATGGTGCTGGGACTGCCCCAGCCCTTGCTCTGTGCAGCCTGGCACCAGAGAGGAAGGGGACCAACCTCCACACTGGGCCCAGGGTGCTCTGGTTAGGCACCCAGGGGAGACCAGGCAAGGGCCAGCAAATCTCAGCTTCTCCCTAAATAATCCCAGTGATGTCTGCCTGTGAAGCCACATGGATGTTATAAAGGCATGCTATGGGGAACACAAGGCTCCTGGAAGGGTGCAATGCTCCAAAGTCTGCTGAAACACATGGCTGGGGACAAGGGCACCCAGCACTTGTCCCTGAGACCTTCACGCCACGCTGAGCTGTGGCACAGCCGCTGCAGCAGCTGCTTTGTGCGCTCGTTGGTGCTTGCAGAGATGCATTTAAGCACTCTTAAAAGTCCCTTAAGCACCCTCAAGATCCTCAGGTTTCCTGCATCCCTCCAGGATCCTGACGCTTAGGAAGCCAAAGGCAGTATTAAATTCATCAATGTGCAAATTGCCTAATTTATTTTATCCCTCCCAGCAGATTTTGTGCCGGACAATGGATGCTTTGCTCTGGAAGTCACTGCATGAACAACTCTCAGCATCTTGTATCTACTTGCTGCCAGCCTGCAGCCTCCCAAACCCAAGCACGAGTGCCTAAAGATGGGTGATGGCATTGGGAAGGATGGGAAAGGGGTTTGAGCGGGAAGGGGTCAGGATACCCATGGCTGAGCTTTGGTGGTGTAGAAATACCCCCTCCCAAGCATGAAGCTTTGGGGATGACTAGGACACTGCGTTCCCCAATGTCTGCCACAGAGATGGGGACTAGTTTAATTTCCAGATGACCCAACACACTGACACATGACCCAGTCAAACGCAACTCCATGCACAGCCAGTGGCTGTGCAAAGGCAATGGCTACCAGATCTCCCCAACGGGCTCCCCCAAGCCAGGGCCACGGCACCAACACGGCGCTGGCCCAGCAGAGTCCCCGCACCTATGGCTGAGCCAGCAATGGGATGTGCAGCCCAGGGGTGGCTCAGTGCAGTGTTTACGGGCAGGTGTCTCCTCTCTGCACTGCAGGTCTGCAGTGGTGGCTGTGCATGGCCTCCCTCATGCATCCCCATCCGGTGTGACCTCTCGCTGAACCACATCCTGGCCGTGCTCGCAGCAGCCCTCCTGCAGCACTCGCTGCGTGGAACCACAGACAACCAGCTGCCTTCTTCAGCTTGGATGAGTTAAGGCTGCGCCTCCTCAATCCTGGCCGTGTCTTTGCTAGTGTGAACTGCAGGAGGACCCAAAAAAAGGCTGCCCCTACCCTGCACCCTTTCCCTCTCACCGCGGGGACACCCCAACCACCCTCTGTCCCCTTCTAGTAGATGCCAGGGACAGCTTGACGCTTTCACAAGCGCAGGGAAGAGCACCCACGCCCCGCCGGCGGTGGGTGGGCGGGCAAGCATCGGGTGATGCGGTGACGGGGCGGCTCACGCGGCATCGCGGCAGCCTGGCCCTGCTCAGCGCGAGTCACGCTGCAGCAGCGGGGCTGCGGGAACCGCCCGCGGGCCACCAGCCCTCGGCCCACAGGAAAGGCAAGGGCAAGGGCTCTATCCACAGGATAGAGCTGCAAAGGGCATGGGGGTGCCAAAAACTCTGAGCCAGCTGTGGATCAACCCTGTGGGTGCTTCTGGGTTGGGATAAGTGCCCGGTGCCAGCGTCAGCTGTAGCATTCCCATGCCAGCAGGCTCTGCTATCGCCTGCATCTCATCGCCACACCAGATTAGAGGAGCGGCCCGGGAGCTGCGGGACGCCTGTTTAATGTTTAATATTCCTGGAAGCTGGTAACCGTTTGACAAGAGAGATAGGCGCTGACTCAGCGAGGATGAAAAAGTTGGGATGGAAAAGTCGTTCCCAAGACGACTTGCTCCTCTGCTGCTGGGAAGTTGGTACAATCCACTGCTGTCCTGCTTTCGGTTGGGTTAATGTTAAACTGCAGGAGAACAGCCCCACTGGCCTCACTCTCCCTTGCTGGGAGGTTTTCTCCTGTCTGGGAAGGAGGAGAGGGTGGGGAGGGGTGGTGCTGGACTCTGGCCACTGCTGGAAAGGAGCTCTGCAGCCAAGAGGCCTCAGCCCTGCCATGGGGCCAGGGCCAGGGGCATCCACAACACCCCTTGGCATCGTCAGTGCTGCTTCCAGCTGCTCAGCAGCAAGAGGGGCTGCTCCTCTGGGGCAGTCAGGCAATGTGGAGGATGCTCCCACACCAGCAGCACTCACCCACTGGCTCCTGCATCACTCACAGGGGAGGCATGGAGGCCATTCAGAGTGGTGGGATGCACAACAACTCCCTCCAACCTCATCCCATTGCTTTGTTTGGTTGTTTTTTAAATAACCCAATCCACAGCATTGTGTACAGCCTGCCCAGACTGACAGCACCCATCTCACTGTCAAACTGCCTCCTGAGACCCCACGGGAGGGATGTTGGATACAGAATGCTGGATGTGGGATGTCAGCCTCCAGTCCCAGCCCAGCTCTGAGGCGGGAGCTGGGCTGCTGTCCCTACCTGCAATGGCAGAGTGGACACAGGAGTCCTACCTGGCCTAGGAGCCATTAGAAAATTCAGTGCTACGAGGACATGTGTACTCATATGTATTCTTTAAAAAACAGAAAACCCCCTCTCCATTTGTGAGGCTCTTGGGTGGGCAGGGGTCTTTGGGTAAAGCTGGGAAGATAACAGGATTTTCTACAAGGAGGCCAATGTTTCTCCTCCCTGTCCCAAGAGCCATCCATGAAGGCTCCAAGGTGCCCTTGGCTGCCAGCCCCAGGGGGAGGTGGAGGGTTCGGGACCACAGCGGCTCAGGTGAAAACCCACTGGCCTGGGTAAAGTAAAGCTCACACAGCCCACATTGTTCTCCTGTCTCTAGGGCCAGGATGGATAATTTGCCCCTACAGATCCAAGCAGCATCTCCGCCAAGGGAACAACTCGCCCCCTCTCTGCGCTGGGAACATGTCCCTGATGTGACTTTTCTCCTGCCAGTGCCAGCTCAGACAGAAACCATTCCCAACCCCAGATGCTGGCAAACCAGCACAACTCCACTGTCCCCAAGGGCACATCCTGCTCAATTGCATCACCCAGATGGGCAGCTGCCACCAGCACACACAGTGGCTCTGCACCCAACATCTGCCCATGGCCATTTCCCAGTAGTAACCGTACGTTGGGACATCACACTGCCTGTTGTGTCACAGCCCCTTTGGAAGCAATGGCCAAAGGGCTGGGGGCACATGGGGACACAGCCGGGGAGTTCCTTTGCCTGGAGGAGTGCCTGAGCAGTGATATTCCCAAGGAGGAGCTCACAAAGGCACACATGGACACTGCAGCACGCAACGGAGATGCTCATCTAGCCCTTCAGCTGTTCACTTGCCCCCCTCTCTCCCAGCTCCTACCTGCTCTTGTCCACAGCATCCTGCTCGTCCATCTCGTCTGCGCTGCAGGTTGCGCTGGAGTCGCTGTCAGGGTTCACCCCGGGGCCTTTACTGCCCTTATGGCTCTCCTTCTTCTCAGCCTTGGGCGTCCCCTCTGTCCCCGCTGTCCCTGCACTGCTGACGCCGCTTTCTGCCTTCTTGTCATTCCCCTTGTCCTTCTCCTGGCTCTCTTCGCTCTCCTCCTTCTTCACCTCGCTCTTGCAGGGCTCCTCGTTCACCTTCTCCTCTGGCTCCTCCGTTTTCACCACGTCCACCACCAGGTCCTCTGGCACCTTCTCCTCGGTGCTGGGCGGCTCGGGAGCTGCCTCGGGCGGGGGGCTGGCGGCTGGAGCGGGGTTGGCAGGGGGAGCAGGGGGAGCGTCAGGGGGTGTTGGAGCCTCTTCCCACTTGACTGCCGGTTCTGTGCCGGTGTCACCTCCTGGCCCGGGTGGTGCCTTGGCCCCGTTTTCGCCTCCTTCTTTGGCTTCAGGCCTTGGCGAGGGAATGCTCTCAGTGTCGGAGCTGTTATTTACTGCAGCTGAGAAAAGGGAAGAAATAAAAATAAGGATCAGCCCGAGATTCTTGCTTCCCATATCGCTGCCTCCACCCCCTCCCCTGGGAAGAGAACGCCCTCGTTCCTCTGAGGAGGAGATGATCCCGGGGCTGGGAGAGCTGTGCTGGGATCCCCCGATCCAGAGCCTACTAAGCAAAGCGATGTTCTGGGGGCCTCTCTGCTTGCCCAGCACGATTATTAACCCCCACCCAAACATAAAACCACACGCCCAAAAGCCTGGAGACCAAGCGACTGGGAAGCTGGATTTTAAGGGAAAACCCTTGCTGCTGGCTGGACTTGCAGGACAAGACTTGCTCCCTCCCCACCCTCTCACCCATGGCTCAGGATCAGTTCTGCTGTCCCAGGACTGGCACCTCACTGGCACCCTGCTCGCTGACTTACATTGCCCATGTCCCTGGCTCTGCTACCCCTGGGGCAGCTGGGATCATCCCAAAACACTGCATGTGTTTGTTGTTGTTTAAGCCACCGGTGGCAGAAAAAAGGAGGTCAGGGTCAGCAAAAGCAAAGCGCTGGCAGTGTTGCAGGACAGGTTAATTATTACATGGGAAGGATCACTCTCAAATCTGCCACCAGCGGCTTGACGTGAGCTGGAAGCACAAGCATCCATGCACCACTCAGAGTTCGGCGCTGCCAAGAGATTGTTTCTACAGCTGGGGAGAGGATTGCTCCCTCCAAGCCTTTGCCGGACAAACACGGTCAGGGCCAGGAGCACCAGGAGATTTCCACGGTCCCATCCCAGCACGTCCCCACCGGGCAGGGCTCTCACGCCCAAAGGCTTCCTCGCGTGCATTCCTTGACTTGCCTCTCTCCACAGCAGCACAGCCAGCTCAGTGCTGGTGAGATGAGTGGCACAGAGGGACTGTGTCTTAAGAGCTGTACGTCAGAGCACATCCATCCTTCCTCAATGAGAAATCACGCCACACTCTCCAGGAATCTCGGCCTTCTCCAACCTTACTCACTTGCAATCAAGCAATGAGGTGCCCTGTCACCCACCCAGGACAAGGTTCACAGTGTGTTCAGCCAAACTCTGCCCGACTGCCACTTGATGCTACTCTGAATATCCTGTCGAGACACCCAGTGGTGGCTCATCCCAAGCTCGACCAAGCTCTAAACTCCAGTGCACTCCCTCCAGATGCTGAATCCATAGTCTACACCATAACCCCCACACCAAGTCCTTCCCCCTGTCCCTGGCCGGCCACATGGCCCCTGCAACTCTAAGGTATTGTCTGAGCATCCCCAAATATCCCCCTGGAGCCAGTGGCCATCTCCTACATAACACAATCCTGTCACTTCTATGCCCATTACGTTTCATCCCCCCTGCTCATGCCTTTCCACAGCTCTGCAGCCGACCCCAGCAGCAGAATGAGAGCCAATGCTTGGAGTGTAAGGCTCGAGAGCATGTCAAGAGATTTGTCTCTAATCTCAAAATCACATTGTTTCCTCTCAGGCACTCTTACAAAGAGCAATAACTACCTTTTACTTTGCTCCTGTGAGTCACGTATCACCTGGCACAAAGATTTACCTGGAATCTGCCTTGTAATGAGTCACTTGCAAAGACAATTTGAAAAGATTTCCCATTTCAAGTTCCATTAGCCTGGGTGCTAAGGCCAGGAACCAGTGTGGTGCCATAGTGCTGGTTAAGTTATTAAATTACTTTGACAGAAGTCAAATGGGCTATTGTTGGAAAATTGTGCACATTTTCTCCAAACTCCAAACTGTCACACTTTCTAAGCGATAAATAGCTGAAAATTGTCACTTTCAAGTTGTTTCCTTTCTTTGGTATGCCTGGGATGGAGGAAAATGCTACCTTAAAAGGGAAAGGAGGAGGAAAAGACCCGCCATGATGCATCAGCCTTGTTGGTGGGAGACCACCGGCTTCCCCTGCCTTTGCTGCAGGGCTGGGCTCTGGGAACTCCACTGACAGGGGAAGCAGCAATGCCCTGATGGGATGGGGATGGGTTCACACAAACCTTGACTGGTTATCTCTCCTTGAGCCCATGATAAGCTCTGTGAAAGCCCACAGTGGTGGCTGTCTAACCCTGCTGAGTACGCAGGGATCCTCCTTTGGAGGAAAACACCAAGAAATGTGATTTACAAGAGGCCCTGGGAAGCTGGGTGCTCTTGGAGAGCACGCTGACAGGAATCAGAAACCAAAGGGCTCCCAAAAATAGCCATCTGTCCAGACAGACATGGGAGGAGGGCAGTGATCCAGGGCACTCCTCGCAAGCGTGAAATGCAGAGGCATCCAAGCGCCTTGTGCTGTGAGACACCGTCACCTCGGAGTGACCTTGGGGTGACAGACGTGACCCCTTGTGAGTGCTGACATTTGCAGCTCCGGAGAGGCCGTGTGTGACGCCTCTGCCGTGACCAGGCAGCAAAGCCAGGAGAGCTGAGCACATTCCCCCCCCCCCACAGCCCCCAACCCGCCTCACCTTCCGCCTCCTCCGCCATCTCCTCCTCGTTGCCGCTCGTCCCCGACACCTCCATCTCCTCGTCCTCAGCTGCAGGAGGGAAGGCGGCTTCTTCGTTCTGAACAGCAGCGCCTTTTTTCTTCTTCCTCTTGGCGTTCCTTTCTTTCTCCTGGGGAAGAGGAAGAGGATGGTGAGACACAAAGCCCATGGAGAGCCGTGTGGGAACAGAGAGCACCAGCCCTGCCCAAAGGGCCAAGAGGAATGCTCCTACCACCAGAGACCCCCTGCTCTGGGCAAACCCTCTGAATATGAGTCTTTGGGACCAGACTCAGCAGTTGAAAGCCTGGCAGCATGGTGTCACCTAGCCAAAAAATTTTGCCAGCCTGGCTCCACATGGAGCTCCACCCTCAGGCAGCAGCAAGCCTCCAAGGGAAGGATGGCACGGATACGTGGACAAGGGACCAGCATGCAGAGATCACCAGTGTAGGGCTGGCAAGAGCCCAGGGGTCATGTGTCTGGTCATTACACACGTGACGTGTTAGTCCTGCGCATTTCCAGGCTCTACCTTCAGCTACACATACATATGTGGCTCCGAACTGACGTTCATCTGCAGACAACAAAGCTGATGCTCCAGATACAGCCCAGCCAACATTTTCATGCACCAGCTTTCATGACCCCTTTGGCAGGTGCTGCCAAAGGACTTTGACTGCCATGCCAGGGCAGCTGTCACTGGTGAACAGTGGGGACGCTCCGTGAAGCACGGCATCCCAAAGGGGAGCTTCCTGGTGTCCTGTCCTGCCCCAAGACAGCCCTGTCCTCCCTTGCTGGGGCACGTGCCACAGCCACGAGGGCGCGGGCAGCTGCTCCCTCCTGCAGACCTAAAGGAAAAGTCTTGGCTTTGCTATTGTTTCCTGCTCTTGTTGCTTGAGTAAATATTACCAGTAGGAACAGGCTCATCATCTCCGGCTCTCCCTGCAAACCCCACATGAGTGACGTGTGTAGGACGTTTATTTACATGGATGAAAAGATAAAGCCGTGGTGGAAACGTTAACTCTGCTGCTGGATCTCTGTGCTGGGAAAAGCTGGTCCCCCCTCCCCCCACCCCCAACTTTTCAATCCTTTAGAAAACTTCCAGATAAAACAAACAAATACAACTGCTTTTTGCTTGGAAACGCTGCTTGCTCAAAATCTATTTTTATCAAACTGGGCAGAAGAGAGGGGAAAAAAGACACTTGAGAACAGGCTCTGTGCAGGCGCAGAGAGGTGGCTGGAGGAAGGCCGGGCCCCGCGGTTCCCTCGCCCCATCCCGGCACTGCCGGCGATGCCCCGGTGCTGCCGGCGTTCGCGCCTCTGCCACGGCAGCGATTCAGCAACCGCACGTTTCTGTGTGAAGCAGCAGTTCCCCATCACGCTAATGCGGTGACAAAGCGCCGACGTTACTATGGCAAAGACTTCTCTGCCTCTTACTCACGGGTCCGTGACTCAGCCGCGGGCAGGAGCAGGCTCCTCGCTGTGGGAATTAGCTGGGAACCAGCCTCTGCCTCAGCACCCTACTTGGCCAGAGCCTGGGGCTGGCAGCTGCTGGCAGAGCAGAGCAGGGAGCAGCCCCAGGGGCACCGTGGGTCCCTCTCCCGGCAGACCCCACTGCTGATATTTAAGGAGAATGAAATCCAGGCAGCAGATCCTGGCTACACCTAGAGAGACATTCAAGGCCACCACTTCGCCACTTATCATGCTGACAGCTCCAGATTCCTTGAGCAGTCTTGCTCCCTGCACCCTGCCCAGGAAGGGGTCCCATCCTGCCCTGCCTCCATAAGTAGCCCCAGGGCTCCCACGGCTGACACGGGATCCTAACCAAAACTGTCCTAACAACAAGAGTCTCTGTGAGCCATGCCTGGAACCAGGCATCTCCCATCGTAACAATGTACTTTTAATCCAAGTGATTGCCAGCAAGGCCATGGGAAGGTGCCAGGACCATTTGCTGTGGTCATGCTGGTGCTTATTTTGTGGCTCTCTACCTTCCACATCCAGGAACATCCAGGACTTGGTGCCACTCAAGCATTCTGCCTTGCCAAGACCACTGAGGAGAAGTTCTGTCCACAGTGAGGACACCAAACTCTGCACAAGGGGTCACTCCATGCCTCCTCCTCCATGATGTCTTTCTGGGCCATCCTGACAAATTCAGCCTCTCCCCGCTCTCACCAACTCACATGACAGCAACCGCCCAAACAGTTTCCAAACCCTGCTACCAACACAAAACCATCATGATGGGAACCTCCCATCAGTCTCAGCCTGTCCAAAGAGCACAACCAGGCAGTCCCAGCCTGGTATCACACAGTGATGTGTGTTTGCAACCGTGCCAGGACTAGGTCTAACCACAGAGTGACTCCCACGCTCTGCCGTGAGAGCAGCCGGCAGTAATGGGAAGGGGTAGAGCAGTGACCCTGCAGAAAGGACCTCTCTGCCACTGCAGTGAAGAGGGTCTCAGTTCTCCACCCTGAGAGCAAGAGTCTGCACCAAGGCAAGAGAGACACATTCATCCCTCAGAAGCAGAGGCCACCAGACTGTGCTCTCAAAGCATTTTGCTGTGCAAAGCCAGCATTACCCAGAAAAGCAAGGCATTAAAGAAATGTTGCTCAAAGGAGGTCCAAAAGATTGGTTCTCCAAGCAGGACCAGCCCCAGCCCAGGGAACAGGTTGCCCTCTTTCCTGCACAAGCCAAAACAAGCCCCAGTAGAGACAAGCCCAAAGTAACAATCACTCTGTAGAGAGGTGCCGGTGAAGACAGTGCCTAATCTCCAGCCACTAACAGAAAGAAGAGCTCTGAGAACACCATGTATCCCAATGCCCTGCTTTCCTTAAATGCTGAGATTAGTGAGTGCAGTGTGCAGAAGGTCAAGGTTAAGTGACGCTGATGCCTGGGACACATCCGAGCCGTGCGGCAGCGAAACCAAGCCAAAACACACAACAGGGCAGATAAAGCGAAGCCTCGAAGGTGGCCTGACCCTGCCCCAGCAGTCACTGGCTGCCTGTCCCATGGTGTGGTTGGCTGGCAGGGACAGCTCGAGCCACGGGTGTCTGCTTCCCATCCCACACGAGCCACGGCCGCTGGCCTGGCCGCACAGCTCATCCGAGCCACCTGCACACCGCGGAAACCTGGTGTCACACCTACCTGGAAGAGGAGGCTACAATATTAACGAGCCCCATTTGGGAAATGAATGAGATCTACTAATTAAGTTTACTCTCGTTAAGCAAGAGGAGGAAAAGCAGAGCCACTGCATTTCCCTGCACGTGATCAGCAATAGCTGCTGGTGATGAGGTCAGGGAATCATCTGTGGATGTCATGGCAAAACTAAGCGATGCCACACTGCCTCGCCACGTGCTTCCTCCACAGAGGTCACGGCTGAACTGGGTATAGGATGAGATTTGAAGGCTCGCTTTGCTTGGGAATATATTTAGGAGTCAGGAAGGAAGGTCTATGGCAATTTAATCTCAGTTGTTCTTTCATTTTGTTCAGCTTTCTGGCATCTGCTGTTGCCACAAAACAATAGAGTACAATAAATAACAGCTGAATGTTCATTGTTCTTCTCCACGACCGAATCCCACAGCCTCCAATGCTCGAAAAATAAAATGATGATGCTGATATAAACTGCAAGTGAGAGTGAGCAATTAGACTGGAGAAGTCTAGCGGCTGCCTTGGAGGGACGGATGCAGGGAAAAATGTGGTTCTGCAGAAAAACACTTCCGTGATATAATTTCTGCAACATTAGGGAGCAGAGTAAATTAATACACACCGGCTCCACTGCCAGCAAAGCTGTATGATCTTATTTCAGATTCTCCCCAGTAATGAACAATGATATCTTTCTAATGTAACTTTTTATATTCAGAGGGCTTGATGCACATTTCATTCCAGTCTTTATATGGGTCTGGGGGTCTTTTATATAGTTTGTTTGCTTTGTTTCTAAAAACAATTCAGTGAAACATGGGAACACAGGAGTGTCTCTGTGCATAGAGAATTAATAAAAAAGAATTGCCGATGTCTTCTTTTTCTCTCATTCCTATAGACTGACTAGGATATTAAATTCCTGGGTGAGTCATTGAATGTTTTCCTGTCTTTCTTTTTACTCTTGCTGTAATAGCTTGCTTGGAGAGATTCCTGCATTGAACATTGTCCTTTGCATTTTCAAAGCACCCCTTGGGGGTTTAGCCATGTGAATTCTATTAGCCAGAAACTGGGAACCCCAGGATACTCTACAAATGAAATAATTATAATCTTTAGTGGCTCTTAGCAGTCCGAGCTATCTCCAGAACACCAGACAAGCCCCACTTCACTCACACCCTGCACTGCATGCCAGAAGAGAAGCAGCGTTAGCCCCTTCTGATGGGGAAACTGAGGCATGGAGCGATGTGGGCATCTGCTCACAGCCCTGAAGACAACCAATAACCATGTTGAGACCAGCCTTTCCTCATGTTTTCCTAAGTCCCTGAATTTCTCTGGGGCAAACTGGCAATTTACTGGGTAACTGAGGAACCTGCAAGGCACAGAGTTGCGTGGCCGAGCCGGGCTCTCTGCTCACCAGGGCGGAACAGCACAACCTCACCAAAGTATTTGCGCAGCCAGGACTGAGCTCATGTCCTGGCCAACACACCACAGCCTGCTCCTCCTCCTGCTCCTTATCTCCCCACAGAGAGGGGAGATACCAGCCATGCTCCAGACACCCAGGCATCTCCCACACAGCAGCTCTGCCTCATCCAGACCTCCAGCAGCTCTGCCTCATCCAGACCTCCCAGGGACAGATGGGTGGATAACCCTTTTCTGCATCACTCCGGAGCCCCCACAGCTTTCATTTAAGAAGACAGAAGTCCCCCCTTGGCTATGGGAAACATCCAAGCACTTCCTAGGAAATACCCACGGTGCCCTGATGTGGGCTGGGCTGGGGCTCTCACCATTTTCAGTTTGTGCTGCTGTAGGATCTCGTCCAGGTTCTGCCTCTTCTTGTAGTTGAAGTAGAAGTTTTTGCACTGCGACACGGTCTTGGAGCCCACCATCCTGGCAATGGCTGACCAGTTCCGCCCATGCTCAAGGAGACCTGTGGTTGGAGGAGGGAGAAAGGAGAAGAGTTTAACACCAGATGCGCTCATACAAGGGCAGCATTATCCACGCAGGATGGGAAACATCCTCCGTGCAAGCCAAACTCCACAGGAACAATATGGTCACTAGCACCTGTCTGAATGGCTTCTAGGCCAGGGGATGACCTATGAGAGCCTGTTTTTCTTTCCAAGGGGAAAAAAGGCACTATGCCGACCGCCTCTGGAATAAAATACGTCCCACAGGCATGTCTCGGCCAGCCACTGGGCAGTCACGAGGATGAGCAGTGCTTCCTTCCCTTTGGGACGGCTGCAGGAGGTGTTGGCACATCCAGGAGAACTTGGGACAGCTGCTCTCAGTCCCTACCACGAAGCAAAGGATCTTCCCACCGTTTCTGCCCCAGTGACGATTTCAAAAGGTGTGACAAGGCAGTTCAGGGGGTTGGAGCACACAGCCCTGTTATGGATGGGGAAGGAGAGCCCAGGCAGGTGAGTGTCAGCACTCTGGCAGAGAAGTCCAGGTGATGTCCCTGGCTGGGAAGAGGCGTGCTGAGGGATTAGTGCTGATCACAGGCTCATGAGCAAAGGCAGCTTCCCAGGTCAGGCATCATGCCAAGGGCTGGCAATCCTGGCCAGATGGTGCCACCCGAGCATGGGGCTCCTGCCAGTGCTGGGGCAACCCAGCAGGGTGGAGGAGGAAAAGGAGGAGGAAGGAGCCAGTCAGCACCCTGTGTCCTTGTGGTCTCTGCAGGGGTGTCTGAGCACCCCTCGTACTGCAGCTGGAGGTGGGAGTCACAACCACAGCCCAGGGATGCATGCAGTGGCACCCTGGTCCCTCCACTGCAGGCTCCTGGAGGTGACCCGGGAAAGGACCATCCAGGCTTTCTGGGAAATAACGCCTTGCTGCCTGCAATTATTCCTGGTGTGTGGCTGGTCCTTCCTGTGGTGTCTGGTGGGGCTGGAGCCGCCACCAGCCTGTGGGACACTGCCAGCCTGGCTGGCTCCTGGCTGTCCACATGATGCCACCATCAGGCCAACAGCCCCACCAGCCTTCCCCCTGCACCTTCTGAGGACACAGGACACAGAGTCTGTGAGCCCAGGGGCACTGTACTACCACAAAAGGTGACTTCAAGAAGAAAACCAAGAGGGAATGAACCTGCTAAGAACATCTTCCTCCTTTGTTGGGGGATTTTCTGCCCAGAAGCCACCAACCACAGAGCCTGGGAACAGGCACGGACCACTAGGTCCATATCCAACCCCTCCCTGGCTGCTCTGATGCCACAGGGCTCAGGACAACAGTGAGTCCCACACTGGAGCTCCCGTGCGTAGCTCTGTTTGTGCCTGGGAATGTGGCAGCTGTGCCACAGCCCTGCTGCCAGCCTCCAGCCAAGCTGCTGCCATGTGTCACTTCTGAGCCCCAGGCCAGTCCTAAGTGCCAACCTAACCTCTATTTCAGCCCCAAAACAAACCTCAGGGACTGATCTCAGCACAGCCACAGGCAATAGGGCCCAAGGGACGCACCTCTGGCCAGGATCTGTGCTGTGCCCCTTGCACAGCGTGGGGGCTGAGGGTATGGCTGGACTGAATAGATGGCACTATGAACCCACAGAGAGATGAAACTCCCCTCCCTACTTCCAAGCTCCTGGAGAAAACCAGCAATACTCAGCACAGCAGGAGTTAACATCCAGCCAGTGCCTGTATCCTGCCCGTCCCAGCACCAGGCTTATCAAATTGCATGTACAAGGCATCACACGCACTGAGCACCAGAAGGGCCCTGGCAAGCCAAGAAACAAGTTTGAGCTTTAACTCTGCAACTCCCAGCCTTGCTCAGCCAAACCCACGACCTCTGTCACCCCACTGGCGGGCTGGGACTTCTTAAAAATAATAATAGATTAAAAAAAATCACATCCGGCCACCAACCGTGAGGTAACGAGCGGGGGCAGGAGTCCTCCCCCCACCGCTGCTGAATGCTGCAGGGGAAAACAGGACAGTCCCCTGTGTCACAACCCATCCCCTCTGACACAACCCACTGCTGCCGTCCAAAGCAAACAAGCAGCTCTGTCCCTCTGCTCATCACCACGCTGGTGGCCCAGCACCAAGTGTGACAGCCGGGGCCAAGGCTGATTGCTGCACCCCGGGCAAAGCCCCAAAATAAGGACACTGGCAGCAGTGTGGATGTGCCCTGAGCTCTGGTGCTTTCGCGGGAGAGACGCCGGGCAAGGGGACCTGCCATGGCAGAGCTCGGGGCTGGGGGGCTGATGGATGTCAGTGTGAGTGGTCCCCAGCATGGTGTGACCTTTGCCAGCCACAGGCAGTGCCAGCTCCCGGCTGTCCTTCCCGCTGCCCAGGCTGGCTGTGCCCCTTCTCACCAGGACACTGCCGGAGGCTCCTGCAGCTGGCCAGGCAGGTGGCCCGTGCTGGGCTCGGGAGGAGGAGGAGGTGGCTGCCTGCAGCCCCTGCCCATGGGACCAGCAGGGAGCCCGGCCGCTGTTCTCTTTTTGCATTAAATCAGAGCAAAACAGCAACACCTGCTTTCCACACTGTAGTTATCTGCACAATCGGAAGGGACCAGTCAAGACACCTCACGACCTGCCGGTAAGATCCCGGCTCGCCAGGCACCCCAGTTCCACGAGCTCTGTCAGCACAGCCGCCCCAACCCCTGCACCCCCAGCCTCTGCCCCGCAGTCCCTGACACGCCAGCCCTGCACGGCAGCAGCCAGCCCGGCACACCAGCCCGCCTCGGCACCGCGCGGCCCTTCGTTCCACATCGCAACTGAAACTATGACTAACCGAGTTATCAGATCCTCAGGAAGGCTGCGCTCCTCGGCTCGGGGCGGGGGCTCCGGACGCAGGGTCTGCCGCAGGCAACTACACACAACCTTGAGGTTAACCCCATCCTTCGGACCCCAACACCCGACTTACGTGCTCCGGCTCCGGCTCTGGCGGGCAGGGAGCGCACCTGGAGTGTGCAGCGGGTGGGCTGGGAAGGACACGGGTGTCAGGGCACTTCTTCAAAGCCCCCCCAGGCACGGCAGCCCGCTGCAAAGCGCTGCGAGTGCTCCGCTCACACCCTCCCCACGCATTTCGCTTTCGCTCCCTCGCAGCAGCCGGAGACAGAGAAGAAAGCAAAGCCGGTTCCTTAAATCCTGGGGGCGAAAGGATTTCAGAGCCATGGGCAGCCGGGAGCGGCGAGCAAACGGGCACCGAGGCTGGAAACCAGGTCACAGGCGGCAGACTCCTGACCCCGATGGCAGAAGTTGGTGGGAACACATGCTCCGGTCCCAGCGCTCTTCCCTCTGGAGCGAACAGCGTTCTCCGCTCTCCTCCTGCTCGCTCGCCGGAGCGTTCCAGCCGTCTGCAGCCGCGGTTGTTAAGGTGGATGGAAGCGCCGCCAGTATTTTCTCCCCTACCTCACCTCCTTGCTCAGCAGCTTGGGGCTACAGAGAGGCTGTGCAGTTTCAGGAGGTGCCCGACGTTGCCAAGAAATAATAATAATAATTAAAAACAAAAAAGAAAGGCAGGAGAAAGGCGAAGGGGCGGGAACGCGGCAGCTCCGCTCCTGCCAGCCCGGGGACGGGGAGCCGGTGCCGTCGGTATGTGGCGGAGCAGCGAGCAAGCTCTAATCTGTTCCTCTGGCTGACCCGGGGCTCGTTGCATCTGAATGTGACCTCTAGACAGAGCATTAATAACGAACGTGGCGCTGACCCAAGCTGACAAGGGGTGCGGCGCTTGGCACCCGCTCCCGCCCTCCCTCGCTCACTTTCTGTCTCCCTCGCTCTCGGCTGAATGTCAGCAGCAGGGGGAGGGATCCAGGAAAACAAAGCTTGGCTAATAGTTTTCTCCGCTCTCAAGTGAATCAAAGGCGCTTTTCTTTAGGGACGTGCGCGCCGGCGAGCCCAGTGCCGCACCGACGGGGTGCCGTGGCGCCCCAGGACACCTCGGCCCTGCAGCTGCTGCCCTGGCAGAGGAGAGATGGGGAGAGGTTTGGCACCGGTCTCGCCATGGACGGACCGGGGCTTCTGCTCCCGTACAGCAAGCGGAGGCTGGGAGGAAGAGCTGCTCGGCGAGCGGGGTACCGTGCTCGGCATCTCGGGGAACAGAGAAGAAACCCGGAGGGGCAGCGCAGTGGGCGAGGGCCGTCGGCTCGCACCCCCTTGGCTTTTTGCAGCTGGGTTTTTTTACCAGAGCCATTCCAAGGCTTTCTGGCACAGCCGCCCTGCTCCACCCAGGGCTTGGTGAGGGTGGAGAGAGCCCGTAAAAGGGTCCCTTAATGGGAGTTTGCATGGATTAACAGATCAAGGTTACAGGGGAAAAACTAAGTGATATCATTCCCTACACCCGACGGTACCTGGTATGATGCTCCAGTATCTCTTGCACCCACACACCCTCTTGGGTGTGGGGATGGAGACAGTTCTGGTTACACCACAGCCAAAATGTGCCGCAATCCCATTCCAGAGAACGACCAGCACTACTGAGTCAGCAACACCACCCAGGGCATCCCGAAAGCGTGGTCGGCATCACTTTCCCGCACTGACCTCGGGGTGGTTCGCAGCGTGTGGGAGAACCGAGGCACAGGGAGGTGAGTAAATTCTCCAGGGCCACAGATCAGTGGGTGGCAGAGCCAGGTGCATGCCAAGCACCTGATGCTGGGCCAAGGGAAGCAGAGGGGACAGTGTGTGGGGTGTTGCTGGAGGGACCGCGGCACAGGCAGCCAGCTCGGTGTGCTCTCGCTATCGTGGTGGGTGATGCCCTTCCTTCCTTGGGAAGGCAACGCCAGAACCAGCCTGCTGCACTCCCAATGGACCTCTCCTTTGGCAGCTGGATACAAGCAGGCCTCTGATGTGCCCCAAGGCTACAAGGCAGCTTGGAGCTGAACTCCCCAGCAGCTTTCACACCCATCATGCCACCTCTCTGGAGGGAGGCAGCGCCACCAAACAAGGTGTGGGTATGGAGCTGGGACCCTCGACCAGCTCAGCTCTACTGCCATGTTCCCTCTCCTCTGTCCCTGGCTGGGGACCTTCAGCTCCCAGGTCTTCCCTCTGAATGAGATGGTTCCTGGACCACAGCATCCACCTGCTGCAAAACATCAAGCCCTCTGCCCTGATCACAGACCTGCCTGGCTTTTCTACTCCTATCACAACGCTCCTTTTGTGCTGTGCCCCCATCCTCTGACCACGGGAGGGGACAGGAAGTCCCACCTGGGATGCCTGCTCTTGGAGAGGTGCCATCACCTCCTGTCCAGCCAGGACACTTGAGTCTCCAGTGCATGGCAGTGAGCACACACTGAGCAGCTGCTGCTGGTGGGTCCAGCTCTCTCCCTTCACCTCGTTCGGATATTATTCCTGCTCCCTTATTGTTGAAAAAATAATGCTCAAAATTAAAATGTAGGCAGCAAATTATAGTAATTACCCAGCAGTTCCTCCTGACAGGCCTTTTGTGTTCCATTCACTGACACTCACTAGGCAAATCCTCACAGTTTGCTCCTACACACTCGAGAAATGTTCAGCCAATGGTGTCAGAAAGCACAGCTCCAGGGGCATGACAGGCAGCAGCACTACAGGCATGGGCCTGGGGGTAACATCTTGGCTGAAGGGTAGCCAAGCCCCAGCCTGGGATAGCAGGGATGGGACTACAGCTGACCACAGCCTCAGGCAGGTTAAGTGTGGCTAATTCACACCTTGGACGCAGTTTTGCCCTCGTGGCGCCCAGTAATTTCCAAATTTGTACAAACTTCATGGCAAGCACAGGGCTTGCTCGGAGCAGGCACATGCTGGCACTCAGGCTGTGAGCACTGGAATGGGCAGGTTGGTCTGTCCTTGCTCCGAGCTACCCTTGCACCCAGCCTAGACAGAGGACACCTGGGTGGGAGACCCCAAGGCACATCCCACCCCAAGGCCAGCCAGAGGGACAATAGGCAGTGACCAGCATGGGCTGCAAACCAGTTTCTCCAGCCCACTTTTACTGCCATCAGCAGGTTTTTACTGTTGTAAATATCTCTCATGGGAGAGGGGAAGGCTCCAACACGAGCACAGGGGAGACAAAAGGAAGGTTCAGAGCTGCCAGCTCCCCAGCATCACCTGTGCTGCAGTCAGCTCCTGTCATAAAGGTGTGGGGAGGTGGCTGGCTTCTGACATGGGCTTTCCTGTCATTGGGTTTGGTTGTGCCTTAATTTGAAGAAATCAGTATTTAAAAAAAAAAAATCTACTTTATTTTAGTTTTGTGAACAGAGTGGGACTGGGGAAAAAAATGGTTCAGGTCAGTCCACAACTCAGATGAATTATTGGCAGCACTGAAAATCAGCCTTCGAAAGAGTGCCTTCGGTATTCAAGGGAATTTTTTACAGCTACCCAAAAGTAACTATTCAGTTACTGTCATCAGCATTTTACATTTCTGCCCAACTCTCCTCTGCCTCATCACAATGACTCCATCCCGTGGCCTTTCCATGTTCTCAGCCTGGGAAAAGGCGTAAGGAGCCTGAGGTTGCCTTGAGGACAAGGAGCACAGAGCCTGGGCAAGGCACGGGAGGACCTTGGCAAGAACCTGCCACTTCCACCCGCCTCTTTTCAAAGAACAAAACCACTTGTTAGACACCCAGGGGAAAACCCCGAGCGGGGCGAGAACAGATACCAGACTTTAAAGACTAACAAAGGTCATGTCGAAACCTCCCGGTTCACTGAGTTCAGCTCCAGCACTATCGCAGCTGCTCTGCAGTGCTGGCACAAGCGGTGACACTTGGTGGAGGGGCTGGGGGGGACAATAAACCCACCCACTGCTCCAGGCTGGCGCTCGCCCGCTGCTTGCAAACTCCCAGCCTACCTCGAACTCCTGCCTACGTGGACTCCTCCGGTGGGTCCCCCAAAGGCAGGAGCTGCCTAAACATTGCCTTTTAAGGAGCAGCCCCATCCCGCTGCTGAATGCCTCTGCACCCTGCCCGGCGGCAAAGCAGTGGGTGCTGCCCGCTTCCTGGCTTAGGAAGGGAAGGGGGAAATCCTCGAGCAACTCCAGTTATATCAAAACCTCCTGCTACAAGGATCACAGCCACGGCGCAAGGAGATAACATCAGAAAAACACCTTCCCCCATCGTGACACCAATCTCTGCACATTTTGACAGACTACTGAATCGAATTTTATTGCGTAATAAAAGTGTCATTAAGCAAGAACTTTCCTCTTGCTGGGTTTTTGTTCCCCTGTTTAAGTTTAATAACGTGGTACTCCCCTCTACTGTCTCTCCCGGCAGACACAGTCCTGCCTTCTCCTGATTGGAAATTCCCTGTGCAGCTCTGTGACTGTGGAGAACAGGCGACTCTGGTGTCTCCCTGTCCTAGGGCTGTTTTCTCTCACCTCCCTGAGCACAAATGACATGGAGTTTCATGCCACGCACAAAAAACCTGAGGGCGGACAGCAAGGCCCGGCTGATCTCCCGCCTGGCAGGTGCTGGGAGCAGCAGTCACCCTCCCCATCTGCCAAAACACCCCAGGGTGGTAGGGCTGAAGTTCCCTGGGACTCACATCTTGCTTGTTTAACTCCCTAAATCAGTCAGCTACGGGCTCTGACTGGTACCAGTACAGGGAGGAGTGTGGCTGGGGCGGCTGAGCCCTTATGGTGAGGAGGATGGTGCCCATGTCTCTGAGCCCACCCAGTGCGGGCCACCACCTCCTCTGCCCCTGCCCAGCCGTGCTGGCAGCAGGCTCTACCAGGCTCTGCCGCCGCCTCCTCCAGCCTCTGAGGTTACCTCCGGAGTTTCACAGCCACTGTGAGTCGGAAACCCCCACCACGCCGGTCCCTGGAAATGCCAGACAGAGCCAGTTTGAAGCATTAAAGCTGCTGCTTCCTGGCAAAGGGGAATTTGGCTTTTCTGTAGAAGTCTGGTGTTGCAATCTCAGTTTCCCAGGTTGTAACGAAGGGGGAAACATCAGCCATTGGGCTTTACACCAGCAAATCTCCCTGCCCCCTCCTGGCCCCTGGGCTGGAATAGTGCTACGTGCTCCCACGCTTCATCCTTCCTTCACACAGGCTTTGGCAGCTGCTTTTAAGACTCCTTAAGCGCACCTCCAGCATTCAGCATAAAACAACAAGAGCCACTTCTTAACAACCAGATGCTGATCTCCAAAACAAAGCCGTGCTCGGGAAAGATCCCTCCAACGACCCTCCCCTGCCAGCACCTGCTCGCCCCATACCTGGCCCCCGGCCAGTTTGCTTGATTAAAGTCTATCTATTAAGTTTTGCGACTATAGAGAGCCTCGCTCAGCAACGCGCAGGATTGGCACGGGGTTGTAAAGAGGGTTGGAACAGCTTAAAGGCGAGCGAGCCAAACACTTCGGGATATTCACAGGCAAAGTAATCCAAGTCCACAGCTCCCATCGGCACCTGGGCAGCCGGCGCTCCAGAACGTGTAATCACCATCCCGGCAGCAGGTGCATTTTCCAAGCAGAGCCGAACTTGCTAACACGCCTGTTTGCCTCTGCCATCCCCGAATGGCACTCATTTCCATTTTAATTTCCCATTTACAATCCTCTCCGGGCCAGGAGATTCGGCAGCGACGCAAGCGGGATGCACGGGCTGGGGACGTGAGCTCGACAGCCCATCAACAGGACGTGACTTTGGCAAAAAATTAAAGCAGTGAACGAGCTGGCGCAGGAGCGGCACAAGGAGGGGAAGTGGCAAGAAGGTCTGTGCTACACTCAGCACTTTTTAAAAATGGTCTCAGCAAAGGCTCTGAATCAGCTCCAGGATGTAAAGTCACCCCATGCTGCCCGCAGCCCTGGCTCTTGAGGGCTCCCCAACACGTGCCTGAGGAGTGTTGGGGTTCACTGTCTTCTCCTTAAATCCCAGAGCTGTGAACACAGGCAGACACTCTCTGTGTGCCTGGAAAAGGTCACAGTGAAGGCATGAGGCTCCAAAGAGCAGTGAAACTACAGGCTACAGGTACCATCAGCTCCAAAAAGCAACAGGCAAAGTGCCTTCCCCATTTCCTACAGCCAACTCCTGCCTCGTGGGACACACGCCGGCTCCAGCCACAGTCCAGACATCCCTGGTGTTGGCACAGGTCCTGGGGCCGGAGAAGCTGAGCACACTCCCTGCACCACCACCTGCCTTCCTCAAACCCTCCCTGAGGCATGCTGAGAACAAACCAGCAGCAGGACAGGCAGGATCTGGCCCCACAGCTCAGGACCCACCACCCTGCACTGACGTCAGCAGTCAGACACCATCCATCCCTGATTGCTGGGTTAGCTCCAGCACAGTCAACGGGAGAAAGAAAATGAGCGTCTCACCTTTTTTAGCCGTCTCCATCTCCTCTTCGGTCCAGCGAGAGCTTTCATTCATTTCCAGGGAAGCTGAGAAGGAAGAAGGAAAAAGAGAAGTCAGCTCTGAGCACGACCCAGCAAGCCCAGTGAGCTCAGAGGAGGTATCCCAACACTCAAACCCTGTCCCATGCCCTGTTCCCTGGAGGCATGACAAAACCCCGTGCAGTGCAGAAGTGCTTCCGCAAGGAAGGCTGTCATGGTGCGGGCTCTTGAGGCTTCTCCATGCCACAGTACCCATGCACAGCACCCCCTTGGGATTTGCCTTGGTGATGCAAAACCTCCACTTCGGTCCTGGAAGCAAAGCCAGATGGCTCGAGGGTGGCAGCAGATTTCCTGCCGATTTGGTGCCACGCACTCTGGCCCAACAACAGGTACCTAAGACGGAGCCGCTGTGGCTGTGCTTTGGAGGTGGCAGACACAGGGTGGGACCGTCACCCTCAGCACAGACAGGGAAACAGCGTCACCTCTGTGGAGACTTTGGCTGGCTGCATCTGTCAAGGGTGTTGGCTGTGTGTGACCGCGGTCTCCCTCTCTGCCATCACTGGGCTCTTGGACAACAACTCCGAGCCACTTCCAGCAGCGCTGGGGGCTCGCCCGGAGCAGTGCCCATCGCAAGGGGTCATGCTGCTCCAGCCAGGAGAGGTGGAGAGGGGTGTCAGCATCCGATGCTGCCCCTCTCCCCCACCCCAGGCGTGGTGCTCGGGACACCAAGGTCCTGCATAAAGCCCTCACTATGCACCAGTCCCGCTGGCAGCCTGGCACAGAGCAAACCCTACAATAACAAACCGGGGTGTGAGTCAGAGGCAAAAAACAACTCAGTAAGGAAACAGATTTCCGGCTCAGGCTGCCAAGGGGTGATTACTCTAAACAACAGGCAAAGCATTATTTCAACAGTGATGAGAGATGTTTTGACAGTGTCCTTTCAAAATGGAAAGCAGGCTGATAGGTCCAGGATAAAGAATACAGGCAAGAAGAGAAGGAAGAATATTCCAAGAAGCTCTACAGGAAGCTGAGACCCTGTGGGAGGACAACATGGGCTCCGATGCCCATAGCATTGGGCAGAGGAGTCTCCTTCACAGCTGGCTGAGCACAACTGCAGGTGTCACCTCCCGGAAGACAGTGCAGGCCATTGCCTCCCCCAGAAATGCTGTGTCCCCCCCGGGACACCAGCCAAGAGGGAGGGAAATCGATACCTCACCGCTTCCCCTGGCTGCGGGCAGAGCCGGGGCCGTGACACTCGTTTACGTAAAAGTGAGTGTCCCCAGTGCTGTGCCGGCCCTTGGCTCAGCTGGTGATGGCTGTTATTGTATGGTAAAGAAATGTCACAGAAACGGCCCGTTTGGTTTGATTAATGGCATTGACTGAGGTTGCGCAGTTATGAAACAGATGCCTACAGGGAGCTCCGGCACGCTGCAGTTAAACCACAATACGGTTTTGTGTTGTTTTTTAATGTTCAATTGGTATTTAAAATGCAATAACTTTCTTAGCCAACCTAAATTAAAGCGCTATTGGAGAGACATAAAGTGAAACCAATTGCTCAGATATGTCACTGGAATTGATCCATTCCTTTTTCCCAATTTAACATGGTCTAAAGCCTTTTCTCTGTGTTCGCAGTGAAGTTTATCAAGGACTCTGAGATGCTGGGATAAAAAAATCCCGTCTAAGTTATTGGCATTATCTGCTGCTTCTCTGCAGCATTGCTGAACAAGTTGGAGGGAGAGAGCAGGGCTCCGTTGTGCTGGGGACTATTTATATCGCCTGTATGAAAACAGAGCGCTCGCAATCAAGGCTTCAGCCAGTTGTCAGCAGAGAACAGGGAGGCGAAACACCTCCGCGTGATTTATAGCACATGGAACAGCACAAGCGAGAAACTGCAGAGCAAGGAAACCGAGAGGAGTCACCCTGCTTTTATTTTTACCTGCCTTAGGTAGCACAGCAATAATTTTGTACTTTGATAAGAGTAGAAAATATAGGAAAATCATCCAAATTCCTCGATGCATTGGCTTCTCTAAGTCAATACATGAGCTGTTCCCCAGGGTGGACACTACTGATGCTGCAGACGCGAGAGGCTGATGCACCTGACGTGGGGCTGTGGATGCTGCCATGAATTCCCATCTAGTCCAGGACAGGCATGGCAGCATGGCACGGCTATGGCCAACTGCCACATGTGGCCATGGGCTGGTGCGGTCCCTGGGTGCCACATTACAGGCAGCAGCCTTTGCCTCCTCAGTTATGGGTACAAATGGACCAGCCTAATGCCCAAAGCCCACAGATCCCACAGGCTGCAGCTGCTCAGGCTCCAGGCAAATTTGAAAACAGAGGGCAGAACTGGCAGAGACCCAGGCAAGTCTGAGTGGGCAGAGCCAGAGCAGGGTTCTGTGCAGAGGTTGAGGGTACTCAAAACCCGAGAAGCTGCAGAGGGAAACAGCTCCGGGTGCAGGAGGGACACGAGCCCTGCAGGAACCCAGCCAAAGCTAAAACTGACGGCTTCCCTTTTGCTCTTTTGCAACACTTTCCCTCTGAGGCCATAAAACCCAGTCAGCCAGGACAGCCTGGGCTTGCACAAATGCCCCCACTTAACTGAGCGAACCACGCTGAGTAATTCATGGGATAGAAAAAACCTCATTGCTGCTCTCCAAAAAGAAGGATTTCATAAAGGAAACCCCTCCTCCGTGAGCTGGGGGGGGCAAAGCAGGATGATGTCACATCCCAGCACAACGGACACCCCAAAAGCCCTGCCAAGGTGCCCCCGTGCCCTGCCACCTACCCAGCTCTGCGCTCTGCTGCGGCGTGGCCGCCTCCTCGTTGTTGGCTTCGTTGGCCATGGAGCGAGTGATGCGGCCCTTGCGCCGGCCCTGGCTGTTGGCAGTTTTGCGACCTTTGGAGGTGACTGTTTCTTTCTCATCGTTGTCTTCCCCGGACGTGTCGTCGTTCTTGTCCCTGCAAAAACAGGGAGAAAAGAAAAAAAAATGTTGTTGGGTTGATCTGATTTTTAGGTCAAGCAATTATTTCTCTGCATGTGTTTGGGGATGTTTTTTTGTTTTTTTTTTTCTTTTTTTTGTTGGTCTTTGGGGGGGCAGGTCTGCATTTTTTTTTGCAGACGCAGGCTCTTTTCCTGGCCGGGATTGGAGGTGGGGTGATTTGTGGTGGGGTTTTCTTTCTGCAGCTGGCTGCAGCTCCACCACCAAGTGCACGCAGAGACCTGACGGAGACAGGTTTAATACCAGACCATTCAAATTCATCCCTGCCTCCTCCTCATTTATCTTCCTGAAAGGGACCTGCTGGTAAATGTCTTTGCAGCCTAGATATAATGAAGCCAGATGTTCTTTTAAACCAAGTATTAAGCCCATTACAGATAGCGAGCGGTCTGCGTGCCAACCTTCCCCTGCCACGGCACTGATGCTCGGCGTGAGGGAGGCAGGGCTGGCTGGAGCCCTTCATCTGGGAGTGCTCACATTGACATCAATAACACTAAAGGTGAAGTGCCGCGCTCCGCTGCGCCCGAATTGCTCCTCCAGCTCCAGAGGCTCCCCTAACAACAAAACAAGCTAGAGGATCAGAGGAGCTTTGCAGACTGATTGGGTTGATATATAAAAAAAAAAGCGTATTGAGTTGCTTTCCCAGTTTGGGAGCAGCAGGGAAGAGGAATGAGGAGGAGGCTCTGCCTTTCCCTCCCTGTGGAGGAGGTGAGGTGGGCGCACATGATCCTGCACAGGGTCAGGTAGCCCTGGACCATGCTGCATCCCACCACTACATTCCACTGCTGCATCCCACCAGCTCATCCCACTGCTGCAGACCCAGCCCAATGCCCAGCTCTCACTGGAGCCAGGCAGGGATGGTTGTCCTTACTTTGTCAGTTCTTCTTTGTCATTTTCTGTTTCCTGCTTGTCTTCCTCCTTCTCTCCCTCCTTCTCTTTTTCTTTCTCTTTTTCATCTTTCTCATCTTGGCTGCTCCGGGGCATTTGCTGCTGCTGCAAAACAAGGGACATAAAATAAACCAAGCCCTCAGTGCTGAGGCAGACACATGGCAGCACCTGGGCCAACCCAAACAACCGCCACAAAACAATGCGGGGGGCGAGTGGCCAAGAGGAAAGAGCTGCAGGCAGAGGGTGCAGGCAGGGCACTGCTGGAGGCCACAGGGGCTGAAAGCTTTCCGGGGAGATCAGAGGTAGTTCAGGATCAGCCAAGGCAGCTGCACTCTGGCTCCTGTTTCAGGCAGCGGGACAGCCCCAGCAGCTCCCTTGGGATCAGGCAGCAAGAGAGGATCTGATGCAGGGGTAAGGCAGGGAGGTGAGAACAACTCCCCTGTTCCTGCAGACCATGGCTTAGCCACACGGGTGGTGATTTGCAGCCAGTGGGATGCATTTTGCTGGAGCATGAAGGAAACAGGGGCACCAGTGACACCCCGAGGATCAGCAATACGAATGCTGTGATCTTTTTCCCAAGCATTTGACACAGCCCATGGGGAAAATTTGTGAACTCCATATCACCAAGCAGTGGAAGTGCCCAGCTCTCTGCCCACTCTGTACCACCTGGCACCCTCTGCAAAAGCCATGTGCCCAACCACCCCAACACCACTGCTGCCGCTCAGACCGAAGGCACCCCAGTACCCCAGGGAGGGATACAGTGATTATTATAGTTCTGGATTTTGTTTCAACAGCTGCAGGAAGGAGGTTGCTGGGGAGGCCTGGTTCCCCTGACCTCCCTTCCCTCTGGCAACCAGTGCCTGAGAGACATCACATAGAGAACAAGAAATTAGAGACGGAAATGATTTATTAAACCATCCTGCTCCCGGCTAATGCAAGGCTGCTTGCTCCAGGAAACCCACCCGGGCTCACCCGGCCCCTGCCCAGGCTGCAGGGCTTCCACCACTAGGGAAAGGGTTTGGTGATGTAACGGGGGGGAAATTGCCTTAAAGTGGATTTATTAGCAGAAAGTATGATCCCAGGCAGCCTGGTATGGCTGGCACACAGCCATACGGCAAGTGTGGACAAGGTGTCCCTGCATCCCTGGAGCCAATGGGACTGGCATGTCACCAGTCTGCAGAACTGGGAGGCTGCTTTGAACATGGGCATCCCTGCAGCAGCAGCACGGGGTGCAAGTGAAGCTCTCTGCCCCCACGGGCTGGTGCTAAAATGAGAAGCGTGGAGCTGTCAAATGGAGCAGTTTAACAAGAAAACTGCTGATTCTTTCAGGCTCCGGTTCAACAAAAGTCCTCAAAATCCAGGCACTGCCATCACTGAAACCCCGCGGACTTTCAGTTCCTCTTTGTACGGGGGGGGTGGCAGCTGTGCCATCAGGATCCCCACATGCATGACATGTTCAGCAGCCCCTGCAGCACCTCCTTGCCAGAACAGAACCACAATGCATCAAGCTCACAGTCCCACTGCACCCCCAGGAATGGCTCCGTGGGATCCAAGGCCGAGAGGACCCAGAGGAGAGGAAGCCAGGGAACACTTGGGATGAGCACTCAGTTGCTTACGATCTTCCAAAGTCCACGGACTGCTAAGGCCTGGGGAACGGACTGTCTCCTGGTCAAGGAAAGTGTCACACCCAGCATACCAGGCACTGCCCTCACCAGCCCGCAAAACAGGGGAGAAGGAGGAGGGCAGTGGACAAGACTGCCAGGACAGAGAGGTGGGAAACCCTCACTGGCTGCGGAGGAGCAAGGGGCATCCGTCACGTGCATTTCCCCAGTGTTGCCTTGAACTCTCTGACTCTGAGTCATGGCATAGTGAACCCTGAGTGTGGGTTCAGCCCAGACAGACACCCATGAGGTGAAGGCTGTAGCCTCCAAGGGCCAGGCGGGCAGTGAGGCAGGCTCTGCCCCAGCCCTGGCCATCACCACCCACACACATTCCCCTCACCAAAGGTTTTGGCAAAGGAGGGGAGCCCATACAAGGTTTGCAGTATGTCTACCACTCCACTGCAAATATTTTCTTTTGAGGTATGGGGGAAACCCTGCATCCCAGAGATCACAGCTCACCTCCAGCTCTAAAGCCAGCCATGACTGTACAAGTCCCTGCCCCAACATCAGGCTGGTGCAGCTCCCAGGGGAAGCTTCAGCATCATCTTGTCTCTGCACTTGTTTGAACCAGGGGGCTGTCAGCCCAAGCAGCCACTGCAGCTTTTCCCCAGAGGAACAGGCTGGGATGGCAGCAATGCCAAGGAACTCCCTGTGCCAGCCTGCAAACGCATAAGTGAGAAGGCAGGGAGAGAGGTGAGTGGCCGCAGCTGCTCACACTGCAACACAGGTGCTTCCCCAGAGAAGCATCTGCCAAGCTCTGTCATGATAAGGATGGGCAAACCCACTGGTCTGGCTTCAGTGGGCCACTGCACATCTCTCTCCTCCAAGCCCAGCCTGGTAGGACATCAAATTAGGGCTTCTCCCAGTGCAGAGACACATCTTGATCCAAGGATGCCCTCTAGTGATTGCCCTGCTCCAGCCATGGGTGGGTGCCTGATGTGAGGAGCAAGAACCAGGTGGGCACAACACCTTGCACCCAGCAGGACAGACGGGACAGGTCTCACCTGTCAGACCTCTCCTGCCAGGGAGAAATACTTAAAATGGGCAGCATTGTCACCACCAGGCTGTAGTGGGGAAAACTGACCCACCTCCACACCCATGGCTGTGCTCATGTCTTCATCTGAGGATGGCTCCCAGCCAAATGCTGATCTGAACCCTGGCAAGCCCACAGTGATGGCCTATCTCCTGTGCTAGAGCTTGGCTGCATGGCAAGGCACCCCCCAAACCTCCCAGCCATGCTGAAGAATGCCACCTCACACTTCATCCATGGGTACCTGCTGGGCTGGAGACTGTGGGGCTGTTTGCAGCACCCAGAGCCCTGGGGGGGAGAGGGCACCCCGGGGTCCTGAATGAAGCCATTTGGGAGCTCAGCTACAAATGGCACACACAAATGGGACAGTCCACCAGCGATCAACCATCCATGCTACATGCTCTACCCCAAACCTCAAACTGTCATCAGAACCAGACCATAGCATGGCACAGTGCCAGGAAAGCCACAGCCTGGAACCCACGAGCTGTCCGGTCCCCCCTCCCGGCGCACGCTGCCCCCGCGGTGTGTGGGGAGCTATTCTTAGTGCTGGACACGGACCAGCTCTGGATGATTCAAGGGACGGGACGCCATCCCAAAGCGTGACGGGCCAGGAAATGCTTCCCCAATTACCAGCTGATGTCTCCCTCTGATTCATGCCGCCCCGGCTAGAGGTGGACTGGCAGGTGGGTCAGCCCTTAGCGGACACACCAAAGGCTGGCACCAAAACTGCTCAGCTCCTGGCAAGCTTAAATCTCTCTCCACCTACATCCCTGCCACCGTGGGGATGAGGCACCCCATCTCCCGGAGGCAAACCAAGTACATGCTCCCCACCTTGCACAAGAGGGTGAAGGGATGTGCCCGAGGCCAGGGAAGATGCCTGTGGCAGAGGGCAGGGCTGTCCCTCCCTCCCAGGTCAGACGCTCTAACCCCGGACCGCCCTTCCTCCTCCTCAGCATCGCTGCTGCTTGTTTTTGCTGCCGACACATCCTGTTTATTTAAAAAGGCCCCGGGACAAAATCGGACACGGGACGCGTGAGCGAGAGGCCGACCCTGCCCCGAATCCAGGGGGACAGGAGGCCTCCTCCGCTCCCCGCGCTCCGGCCCGAGCTGCTCCGTAATTACGAACACCTGCTCACCTCTGCCCCAACCTCCCGCCGGCCCCGGAGCAGCTGGAGCGGCGCAGAGCGCTGCCATTCCTCCCGGGAACACCGCGTTCCCGGGGCCGGGGCACACGCGCTGCCCCAGCGCCCGGCTCCCACCCGGAGCGACACGGCTCGCCCTGCCCGGCCAGCTCCATCGGCTGGCACGGCACCAGGAGTTCAGCTGCAACAAAGCTTCGCCTCCAAGCGCACTTTAGCGAGGCACCGGCTTCCAGGTAGGACCCGGACACCGAAATGCCGACCCTGCTGAGAACGGACCAACTTGCTGCGCGTCCTGGCAGCGGGACTTGCTGGGAGAAAGCCCCGGCGAGGAAGAGGTGCAGCTCCTCCCACTCTGTTTACTTCCTCTGCCGAGGCACTGCCTGCTTCTGGAAGCAGGACGGGAGGGCAGGAGGAGGTGGGGGAAGCAACTCCCCACCTTCGCCCTCCCCAGCCCGGCCGGAGACGCCTTCGCCTGGGCACGGAGCCGGTGGAACCAGCCAGAAACCCCTTCCCAGCCGGCAGCGCGTCCCTCGCCTCCGAAGTGCCCCGCTCGCACGCTCACCGCCAGCTCCGGACCCGCATCTCCCCCCAAATCACTCACCTCCCCGCTCCCCGGCTCCCGCGAGCGGCCGGTACCCGACAGCCCCATCGCCGGCTCCCGGCCCCTGCTCACCGCCCAGCCATCCGGGCGCGCTGTGCCTTACGTTCTCCGGCTCTGAAGGCTTCCTGACGATTTGCATAGTTAAGCCGTAAACTAACCACAACATTCCTCTTATGATTTTGCAATCTGCTGGAATAACGTGGTCGCTCTAAGTCGAGTCGATGAATCATCATCTATAAACCACAGCTCTCGTCACCGGGGCTCTCAGTGCTGGCTGCAGCCAGAGTGATTAATCCACCAGGATGCCAAGCTTAACCTACAGTGCAGGGCTATTTATTTTCCAAACTTGCAAGCCTCCAGAAAAAGACTGCTGTCTTCCCCATCCCCTTAGTGGTGAGATGTGTCAGGCTGTGGCAGGGGACCAGGGACAGGGGACCTCCCTGTTGCCCACAGGACATCCCAGCGTTAGCCATTGGATCATGCACCTTGCAACTGAGGCACCCGTGCCCTTCCCTGGTCCCGTCTCACTCCCTGTGCCACAGCACCCTCAAAACATGCACCAAAACACCACTTTTGCCAGCAGGGATGAGGTCATCTCTGGGAGTCCAGTTCCTGCACCAGAACCACCAGCTCCTGCCAACCCCAACCACACTGCTTGCTGCTGGACG